GTTGCGAGCAGAGTCGTATTTCCGCGAAAATATGCTTTTTACATGCGATTTTCGCAGTAATTTTACACCAGTTGATTTTTTTCCTTCAAATTGTCGTCATACTCGTAGCTAATTATTTCGGGCAGGTAGTGCAGAAAGGGTAAAAATAACACCGGTTTCAGATATAATTTCTTCCAATACCGCTGTACAATTTCGTGTAAATTTCGTATTTTCGTCGTATCTATCTTTTCTGCTTCGAAATAACACTGATTTAGGCCTTATACGAGTTGTCATTTTCGTGGGCCGCAACGATAAAGTACAGTTAAAAACCTTTTAAATTTTCCTAAAATCAAAGAAACAGGTAGAAAAAAAGAAATAAATCACACCACGCAGAGAGCGATCAACACAAGGGACAACAAATCAAATTCCTTCAATTGTCAACATACACCATTTACAATAAAAATATACACACTTCATTCTCTACAATAATAAAGCTCCTTCTCAAAAAATACAATAAATCTATAAATTTATACAAGTATACATGTAACTAACTAAAAGTATGATCTTTTTGATCATAGTCGATAGTTGTAATTGTGCCCTCACTGTATGCTCACACTACACATTTATACAAGACGAGAAAATAGGCGCTTTTACAGACGGTGTTAATCCCAGATTTAAAATATAATCTTTCTATTCCAATGCGCGCGTTTACATCGTCATCTTAACAAAGAACTCCCTTAGATTTTAGTGTTAATTATAAAATTTAAGTTTTCTATTTGTGGCTATTTATTGAGTGGCTTAATTCTTTGAAGTTTTTTGGTTCAAGGCTAGTTTGACTTTTCAAGTTTTCATATTAAATGTAGAAGTCTCTGCAGGAAGGGGCCTCTTGGAAGTCGGAGCTACTAATATGCACCGAAGAGGATGTCCCTTAGAAGCGACATTGACTTTTCAACGTCACTGTCCTTAAATTGCCATGCATTGCCACTTTCTGAAGCTGTTTTTACTAACGTTGTTATAAACTTGTGTTTCTAGTACCTTACTTATTCCTTTACAAATTTAATTTCTCACGTGCGAACACAATGTCACTGCACGTACCTAACTTGTTCCTTTTATTTTTAACGTGCGAACACAATGTCACTGCACGTACCTTACTTATTCCTTTACAAATCTGAATTTTAAACGTGCGAACGCAATGTCACTGCACGTAACCTTACTTATTCCTTTACAAATTTGAATTTCTCACGTGCGAACGCAATGTCACTGCACGTACCTTACTTATTCCTTAGCAAATTTGAATTTTAAACGTGCGAACGCAATGTCACTGCACGTACCTTACTTATTCCTTGACACATTTTAATTTCTCACGTGCGAACGCAATGTCACTGCACGTATACCTGACACTGATTGTTATCTTGCCTGCTCTTGAACATTTTATTTACAGTCATAAACAAATTATATCGTCTCCGGGCAGTATTCCAATGGATCGTTCAAATATCACAACGATTATCAATCAATTATGAAATCTGATTTAAATTCGAAAGCAAAATTTCTGATACCGACCAAAAATACACCAGTACTTTCAATTTTAGGAATAAAATCCCCCCATCTCCACCCCTCCCTACTGGATGGCGATTGCCACGCTGCTTAGAGGCTCGATGTGCGCGTGCTTGCAGCAGGCTATGCTTGCTCCTAATATAGGCCCTATCGTTCTCATTTGTTAACATTTATCTAGATTTTATCGCCGATAATTATTCGAAGCATGGTATGGGTTCACGAAATCGCGTGGGTGAAGTTTCTCCGGTATAAAAAAAAGACGTTGAATTTAAGAAGACCTAGAGGGGAAGACATTTATTTTAGATTTTTATTAGTACAGTTGTATTACGTACGAACACGATAGTATCAAGTAAGCAGGCGATAATGTTTACGTACGTATGTAAAATCAGCACGTAGGCCCTACGTACGCGATAATATTACATACAACGTATTATAGGGCGTACTAGCTATAGTGATCATACATCACGTATACCTAGATACGCACTATTATTGGGCGCGTATGTAATTAAATAACGTACGTACGTGATTATATTACGTACGTAATTACGTAGAGATAATATTATATTACGTACGTACGCAATAATATTGCGTTCGTACGCGTTCATATAATATTACATACCTACGCAATATACATACGAAATAAAAAACGTACTTGTTATTACTTACATACGTGAAAGTATTATATTATGCAGGCCTACGTATGCAATATTATTTCGTACGCAATAATTGCGTATTCAATATTATTGTGTACGTGATCACATAATATAACGTACCAACGTAATATTGTCGAGATACATACGAAATAAAAACACGCAAGGGCGTGATTATATTGCGTATGTACTTATTATCACTTACTTACGTGATAATAGTATATTACGTACAAAATGTACGTCCGCAATATAATTGCGTACGTACGTGACTAAAAACTTAATTATATTATCAAATGCAAACGTGATAATATCATGTACGTACGTAATACGAAAATAAAATATTCAAGTCCCCCATGTCCCCTAGCCTCTAGGTCTTGGTTTGTATTTGCGTTGGGTTTTACTTTCATATTTTGGCTTGGATTTTGTTCAGAAAAAGTTCAACCACCAAAATGAAAAGGCGGTAAAGCGCGGTAGAGGTTTACGTTCTAAACGCGTTTGAATCTCGATGGTATTAGACCGAACTTAAATCGAATTACTGACCCTAACTAAACACTATCCCTATCACACACTCCTAGCCTAAGCAACTGGCTGCTTTGCGCTGCTGCTTAATGCACGCGAGCTGCCTCTGCACCCCTCCAAAGTTTACCCCAAAAATATTGGTTACACGTTTCCCCAGAATGCTCATAAATTTATATAATGTTTATATATTTTTAGTTTCCAGAAAGTGAGTTCTTTTAACCAGGAGATCAATGTGACAATGAAGGAGACACTGTCACAGGTTTTCTCCATCATGTCCCTAAATTTACAAATTGTAAAATGATGAAATAGATATAAATTAAGAAAACCCCAAAATAAGTTAGGGTAACAAAATGAATGGCAGCCCTATGTTTACTTGATTTTATAGCAACTTTTCTGCACTGAGAAGTTATTTTCTGTGAATTTTTAATCAGTTATAATTGAAAGTACTGGTGTAAATTACTGATGGCCTTATTTTATGAATTATTCAGGGACAACAATTTAAAAGGGAAAGTTTCCACCGAAATGCTACCCTTCAAGAATTATAAAGTTAATTTTCTCGATTTCAAACAATTAAAAAACATCACCTGTAACTATTTTTTATTTCCACGTGCGAACACAATGTCACTGCACGTATTGGCCATTGATAATTAGAACAATAGTGAACTTGACCGTTTTAAAAGGATGTCTTAACTTTATACATGTATTTGGTCTACTTTCAATAATCAAAGCTGTAATTTTAGGTATGAGATTTAAACATCCAGTAATTAATTTTTAAGGAGTTCTCTGTTTCTTGTGACAAACTCAGTTTTCTTTACAGCTTGTTCAAACTTGAAGTTTTTTCCAGGCCTGAAATAAAGTGTTTACCCGCTCAGCCAACAAACAGCACCTGGTGAGGGGCAGCTATTTAGAGTTTTTGAAAAGTCAAAACTTTCTGGGATTAACGGAGCCAATAGCCACGCCCACTTTTTTTATTTAACACGTGCGAACGCGATGTCACTGCACGTACCTTACTTATTCGTTTACAAATTTTAAGTTCTCACGTGCGAACGCAATGTCACTGCACGTACCTTACCTATTCCTTATTGCTTTGCTAATTTTGATGTCCACGTGCGAACGCAATGTCACTGCACGTACCTGACATTGAATCTATAACTGTAGCTAACATAATTAATACAATATAAAACGATACATGCGTAATAAGTACAATTTCAACAAAAGACGTACCTGTCGTCTCGGCGCTGATCTCCGTGCAAGACAGCGATGACGATGCTGACTGTGTGCTACAGCCAACACCAACCAAATAAACCTACAGAACTTAGCTAATAATTTAACCCATAAATATAAATATGTGTTATAGTTGAGAACGTTCTTAGGGCATAAAGTGAAAGTGTATGTGTGAGCGTGAGGAGCACAATGACAGTCAACGCTGTACTGAAACAACTAGTCTAAGACATGCGGCCGAGCATGCTACGTCGTAGTAGTCAGTGAGGCATGAATGTAACAATGCGTGCCCGTATTCTATAAACACGTTATTTGCATAATATTGCATCCAGGACAAGCCGTGGCTACTTTTTAGAAATGGCATTCCGACGAGAATGCTAATGACGTAATCCTATAATGGGCGACTGCAACTATAGTCGCAAGCTGTAGGCCGGCGGTTTGGGGGTTGCAAAACGCAGTGGTCCAAAGCAATGTTCTATGTGGCCATACAAAGTTTTTTTTTAGAAGGGTGACACCTGACAGTTGTTATGGCACGCGGCGCAAAAGTCATCATTCTGCTGGATTTTTTAAATAACTTTATTGTAGACTTAAACTTTTCAAAATCTTAAAATGAACCGCAGGGAATTACAGTCTAGACTCCATTCAATTTTGAAGTTGAACAAAGAATTTGAAATCGCTGCGGTGCATATACTATGCAGGAGCCTGCGACCTTCATACCAGCGCTGTGTAATTTCTTTCCCAGGTAGCCTTCACAATTTTATGTTGTCCCATGGAGGAAGGAATCCTTCCTCCATGGTTGTCCCTAAAAAAACCCATTTTCTTTTCGTTGATATATCGGTCCTTTTTTAAAAAGAAGGAAATTGTTAATAAGAGCGTGTCTTAAAAACAACTTCCATTAAGACAAGGTGTTATGTAATCGGGTATGTGGCACGCGTGACTCACGAGTTTACACGTGCATTTGTTTTGCATACAGAGCGCCCTCATGGTCGACGTCCAGATAAAACTTTTTAGTATGGTAACCCAAAGGTCTGCGACTTTTCGTATTAAAATTGGCGTTGAGAGCCTGGGTACACTGCAGAAGACTTATCAGTATTGGTTGCGTACGAATTACACAATCATCAACACAATATTTTGCAGCAGCAAAGGTTTGTGGTTTTATCTTCGTCTGGTGCATTTGCATGAGAAGAATAGATAACTACTTGAAGTAGTAGGCCAAAGGGAAAGAAATAGCCATATTTTTACGGTAATTTCTTTTAATTGTTTTTTGGAAAGATTCACATATCTGGCCATCATTCATGATCACCACTTTTTTCCTTTCCATTCAGTGTAGGCCTATGTATTTTTATGTATCCTCGACCCTCCATAATCTGCGCAGGTAACGCTTGCGCTTGCAAGGCACGCGCGTTGCCACACACAAACTCAAGGTGAGTGCGTAGAAATAAGACCGCGTAGCTTTAGGGGGTCTGACGGTATTGTTATACCTCTGTCTAGCTCCAATAATATGTGGCCAATTTACTGGACTTCCTCCGTAAATAAAGGCCACACTTCCACCTAGATTCGTGAACGTGGCTTGTATACAACGCCACGGTCAACTTCCACCATGTACATGTCAAACTTTGTCCAATTTTTATTTTCCCATTTAGGCTTAATTTGTAGTTTATTTTTGCTTAGCATACTCACCCTCTTTATACGGTCATACTAATATAGCGTCAACACAGCGTCAATACACGCAGAAGCGTCAACACAGCATCAACACAGCGTTAACACCTACAAAACGCATTCAAATTGACAAAACCAGTGTTCAAACTGAACAGTATGGGTAAAAATAAAATTTTGGCCCAAAATCAATACGTTAAACGTCAGAAAATTGCAATTTTCCGTTCAAGAAAATTGGCTCTCGGTGCAGCTCCGAAATCTGCAGCCATGTTGCTTCAGGGGCAGTGTGGACGATGCCATTATGCAAAAGGGGTGATAGCATTATACAATGAATCACAAAGGGCGGCCATTCATGTGAATCCGCATACAACATCATAATTTCATTCAACTTGCACACCCATATCTGAAATGGTGTAGTCCAAGAAGGACAACGGCAGTGGTGCTTGAAAGATATTTTTCGCGTGAAAAAAACTCCATTTTCATAAACGAAATGTAACATCTGACCCACCAAACATCTCTTTAAGTCTAAAGTTTTCAGTTCTATGCCTTTTTTGTCAATTTAGAATGCGTTTTGGCAGTGCTGACGGTGTGTTGATGCTTCTATCATGTGTTGACGCTGTGTTGACGCTTATTAGTACGACCCTCTTTATAGGCTAATCAGAAAGTGCTGCCTTTTTCAGATGTCTATTTTTCGTGAAATTTCCAGATTCGTTTGCACACGTTTACATATCAAAATTTTAACATGAAATTTCAAAACAATTAGACAGCTGAAAAAGGCAGCACTTTCTGATTAGCTTATAAAGAGGGTGAGTATGCTTCTAAAGTAAAAATAAACTACAAACTAAGCCTAAATGTGAAAATAAAAATTTGACAAAGTTGACATGTTTTTGTACATGGTGGAAGTGTGGCGTTTATTTACGGAGGTAGTCCAGTAAATTGGCCACATTTATGGGGCTAATCTCTGTCTTGAATACTGTATTTTCATTGGCCTAGAACGATCACGTGTTAAGTCTATGAAAAGTCATAGCACACTCCCCGTGGGATATCACTTACATGATATCAGTGTGCTGTGACTTTGTACATACAGTACGTACGGTGTGAAACGCTTGTATCATTAGTACTCACGCTATTTTCAGGGCTGCCAACTCTCACGCATTGAGCGTGAGACTCACACATTTCAGGTAATTCGTATTCTCTCATGCCCACACAGGATTTCTCACGCTAAAAAAAATATATAAAAATAATAAATAAAACAAGTATTTAAGAATCTTACAACTTTATAATACAGTTAATTCTGTCCCAGCGTGTGTGCAGGGTTTTCTGGTCGCGCGACGAACGATTGCATTGGCTGTCATCGCATTGGCGGCATACACTGCACATTTCCCACCGTGCTCTACACACAAAATGATTTCTCATTGGGAAAATCCCTCAACACGCATTTACACAGCGACGGTGTCATAGCAAAGTGGAACCCCACATATTTTCTGAGCCATGATTTTGTATTCCTATAATAATGTTCTTTTGCTAAAAAAAAAATGATTAAATCGGTCAGAAATTGCCTCAGATCACACCATAGAGCATCTAGAATTTTTTTTTGGGCCCTATTTCCGGTTTTTCTTCATATTTCCTGAGTATAGAGTGTTTATACGTCAGTGAAGGGCAAAACCTAATTTGATTTACATCACCTCGACGCAAAATTCCATCTTATGAATAGTAAATGGGGTACCCGCTGTTATAACACCTCACCCACAGATTCTGTCTTGATTGGCCGAGAGCGAGTCACATGTTACTTTCTAATTTTGCTATCTTTCTGTGCACGCCAAAAGTACTATACCCATAGCAACCAAAGTACTATACCATTAGCAACCAAAGTACTATTTCCACGGCGCGGTATTTGTGTGCAAATGCATGCTGGTTTGCGCGTTGTGCGTAGCGCCTATTGTTCCAAAGAGAGCGCGCCGCAGAGTTGGGTTCAAACATTTCGTGAAGGGGTAGTTTCAAAGAGAGAAATACATTTTCCGCCAATTTTGTATTGAAATTGAAGTTTATTTCAACTGTGTTTAGATTAAATAATTTAGATTAAATTATTTAGTCTGTGAAGGGCAAAACCTAATTTGATCCATATTTCCTCTTGATATGTGTCTTTTAAGTTGCTTTCTAAAATGTCATTTCTAGAAAATGTTCACGATGCACTTAACAATCACATTCCCTTTGATTGTTGACAGTTCAGGCAATAATCGACAGCTCTGAATATGGCTCAGACGAGGCTATCGGACTGCTTGAAAGCACTGCGTGGAATGGGACTGATAACCAGGGCCTTCATTGATGTACAGAGCAAGGAATGCAACCAAGTATGGAGTAACTGCAGCCTCAAGTCAGCCACTCAGGGAGCACAGACCAAGGCTGAGGAAGCTGTCAGCAATGCCGTGGTCTTTGCCTCCAAGTTCGGGTCATCACAGGTAAGGGGTGCTTTTGTTACGCCCCAACTATGGTATTGGTCCCAACTATAGTTGGGATTGCCCCAACTATAGTTAGGACGGTCCCAACTGTAGTTCCACAGTTGGGCTGGCCCAACTATAGTTGGGAGTCATCAAGGGGGCCCATCTATAGTTGGGCCCCTCCAATCTTTTTATTTTGCGGTGTCCCAACTGTAGTTTACATTGATATACAACTATAAAACATTTCTTACAGCTCTGATACACGTCTGACTTAACTTTGAACTACTGAAATTTGCTATTGGTGGGGCCCATCTACAGTTGGGCCATGGCAATCTTTTTATTTTGCAGTCCCAATTATAGTTTATGCTGCTGTACGACTATAAAACATTCCCTACAACTCTGATGTAATCGGCCTTTACTCTGGACCAATAATGGGTGGGGCCTATTTATAGTTGGGCCACTACAATATTTTTATTTTGCGGTCCCAACTATAGTCTACATTGATGTACGACTATAAAACATTCCCTCACACGTCTGACTTTACTTGGTACCACTCGGAAATTAGCTATGGTGGGGCCCATCTATAGCTGGGCCACGCCAATCTTTGAATTTTGCATAAAAATGTTGCTGGACTATACTGAAACCCAGCTGGACAACTCATCCAACTAGGCAGTACCACTGATGCCAGCGCCGCGGAACATTAACACCCTGTATCGAGCGTCCGGCGCAACTCCAGTCCTAACTATAGTTGGGCCCACCCAACTGCCGCACTATAGGTGGGACAGTCCCAACTATAGTTGGGACCGATGCGATAGTTGGGGCGTAACACTTTGATCAGGTTCTTTTCTGAGTCCAACTTGTTTGCAGACATGCAAGGTGGTGTACTGCTTACCCTCCGTTTTTTTTTCAGAACCATACATACTCACAAAAGAGATTTGGCCACATGGTGCTACCGCAACAACTTACCTTGTTATTACCCTTCACCGTGCAATTATTACCCTTCACCACATTTTCTCGGCAAAATGTTTTGCGTTCCCCCCATCTTTTCATGTAGCTGCTGCATTCTGCTAGGGCAATGTTCGTGTGTGCGCACTACCCCTGTGTGCTAGTTGCACGATTTCTTCATGAAGCGCATGCGTAGCAGACAGTAGCGTACTGGTAACCAGTGCGATTGTCTACTACGCATGCGCTCACCTGTGTGTGAAACCTGGCATGCGTGCTTGGTTAGCAGCAAAACTAGTGTCTGACACGTGATGTAGCCCAGGTGGACTCCCTTTCCTCCCTACGTAACGGAGGGAGTCCAGGGTATAAAGTGCTCAAAACCGGGCGAAAAAATTTATGACCAGTATTTTTAATATTTTTACCTTGTTGGAGAAGCTAATTTTTACGTCGTAGTATTATATGTAGCCTTACCTATTGGGCCGCTGGGTTCAGAAATTCCATATGCAATGCTGACCGACCTTAATCTGGAAAATAAACTCGAAAGCAACGTTAAACTTGTACGTGTTTGTAGACTCTTTTCATCAGTTTCTCACCGCCGAGTCTATTCTAGTCGTACATGATGTACGTCTGTGCAGCGTGTAGTCTGGTTCCCTAGACCGGACAATTATTCTCGACGTTCATATCACGTCTGGTCCGGGGGCCAGACTATGCAGCATGAATATGCAGTGCGCACGCGCGATTTGCTTAGTAACCACCCTCGTACGCACGTTCTGTGTACACGTTCTGTGACTGTTTTGTCGTTGTGTGATTGCCTAATGATGTTTTGGGATGACTTGTGATTACTTATGAGGTCTTGTGATGACTTTGTGGTGTCTTGTGATGAGTTGTGGTGTCTGTTGATGACTTATGATGTATCAAAACGACTTATAACATTATGATTACTTGCGATAACTTGATCACAACTTTTGCTTCGATTGGCAATTCGCAGAGAAACATTGATGAATTCTCAGAGTCGGTAGCAGACGAGGATCCCACGAGATGGGCCTACTCTACTGGCTCCCCATCCCCAGACCATGACGTGCCTCCAACAGAACCAACACCCAGCCCTCACAGACCAGACAAACCAGACACTGCAGAAACACCAACTTCAACAATACACAGGTTATTATACCTTTATGCTTTTTTGAAGAAAAACTGCAGAACAAGTGTATATGTAAATTCCGTGAGTACGGGGAGTACTTTTCCATGAGTACGAGTGCTTTGCCATGCATGTATGTATGAGTAAGAGTACAAGGCAATTTTATTTCCATAAGTATATACGAGTACAGGTACATTTCCATGAGTATGTGCATATTTCAATGGGCATCCATTTTCTCAAGGGATTTTTTGCTGTCAAACTAGGCAAAAGAAAATGCGATAGCCACCCAAACAGTAGAAAAAAGGTTCTTTGCCTACATGTACATGTACCTCTTAAAAAATTTACAATCCTAGTAGGAGAACATTTCAATGGGTACAAGTAAGAGTACTTTGCCACGAGTACGAGTACAAAAGATGTACTTGAGTACGAGTATTGATTTATTTACTTAATTGGGTGGCCAATTCTGGCGATTCACAATTCAGTGCGCCACCAAGAGTTTGCCACGGAGAGTTCATTTTTCAAGATCACGGTCGACGAAACATGGCCCATTTGAATGAGTGTCAGTAGAAAACTTGAGCTAATTTGTTATAGATTGGGGCAAAGCATTCTGCCGCCTTACAAAAAAACTCCATATTGATAAAATGAAAAGAAAAGGGCAAACAGATGCTTGAATCATACGCTTACGAACTTTCTGGCCGGAAAAACTAACAATTTCAAATGTCCCGCGCTGCGAATTTGTCGACCATCTCCCACAATGCACTGGGAAAAATGAACTCTCCGTGGCAAACTCTTGGTGGCGCACTGCATTGTGAATCGCCCGAATTCAGTGGAATCCACCGGTCTCCCATGGGGCACAGTAAAGAGAAGCCAATGTAAAGATAATTACAGTTTTAGAAGTGGGAGGAAAAGCCACGGAATCGGGCCAGGACTGAAAACCCAATTCACATATATTGGTCCAGGCAGGAATCGAACCCGGTCACAGTATGAGTATGAGTATGATTGTGCGCACTACAATACTGTGTAAGTACATCCCTCCCTCCTTCATCCCCAAATTTGGAGGTACCACTTGCATTAAATGTCATTTATATTAATTCACGTCTTTCTGGAAATGAAAGGAAGGGTTCCTCCAAAGCGAAAAGGCTTTGTAGCTCGGGTCTTGAAAAAGCAAAACAGAAATTGATGACTGAATGCTCCGTTTGAAAAATATGATTGAACTTAAAAGTAGTTAAACTATAATATGTGACCTGTTCTGTCAAAAGCAGATGCTTCTGGGCAGAGGTTGAAATTGAGATAGGGCAAAAAAACGCTGTGGGGGTGATTTTTATCGATTTTCAAATTTTTGCGTATTTGTAATCCTGAACATGTCTAAAATATACTATAAAAGTTTGAAACCCTAATTTGAACTCTACATATACTATTTTTGATGATTTGTTAAGGTATATCAGTTAAAGAAATTACTGTTTTGTGACGTTGGTGGCCATTTTTTCCGTTTTCTACTTTTCGACACAATGAACTTCAAAATAGCATAACTCTGCCCAGGAATGACCGGTTTCAAAAATTAAACCACCTATTAAAAGGAAAAGGAACATATTTTAACAATATGTAAAAATATCATTTTTGAACTTCTGCCCAGAAAAGTCTGATTTTGACAGAACAGGTCACATATTAGTAAGAATCTTTACTTGAAATACTGCACCACCATAAAGCTGTATGCACCATTTCTAACACCTTACCTTTCTCCATACAACCTCAGAGCAACAGAAATGCCGAAACCAAACGGCTCCACTCCACCAACTCAGAGCCGAGGTCTGCACACAGCCGCACCCCCATTCACCATTCGTCATCGGAGGTCTCTACATTATGAATCCTCCACCGGTATGACCGAGGAGCAGTTACAGAAGCTGCGAATGAAAGCCAAGTCTTCCAAGCTGCCCAAACCTAAAGGGCCTCTCATCAAACCTAAAGTAGGTGGATTTCTGGGTTGTAGGGTTCAAGAGTTTGGGGAAATTCATCATAGTTGCTTGTTTTGCCTGAACTGAAGTAAAAGTAGCTACCCCATATGCGTGCATGCGTGATGCATGTATTATATAACCGACATACAGACCCTTGTCATTTGATTGGCGGAACTCACATCACATGACATTCATTATTGCTCCCATTCACACAGGGGCTCAAAAAGTCCCATTTGCCCAAATGCATGCTGGTGTGCGCGTTGAGCGTAGTGCGTTGAGCATTGCGCATATTGCGCCAGTGGCTACAGAGTTGGGTTCAAACATTTCGTGAAGGGGTGGTTTGGAAGAGAGAAATACATTTCCCACCAATTTTGTATTGAAATAGAAGTTAATTTTAACTGTAAATCAAATGACAAGGATCCATATGTTAGTTATATAAAGCAAATATTGAGTGGTTTTAAATTGTGAAACGGGAGAAATATTATCGCTCTGTAAAATCTGGACTTTTCCATTTCACTTGGCTACGCCTTGTGAAAAAAAAGTCCAGATTTTACCTTGCGATAATATTCCTCCCATTCCACTCTGAGCCACTCAATATTTGTATACTATTGCCTAACTGGTTAGCTTCTAGACTCCCAACCATACAACAATTGTGATCATATGTAAAGGGTAGTTGATGGTACTGTACTAAAACTTTCAGAAAATGATTCTGAGTGAGGTATTTTACCTCAGAATTTTTTTCACTTTTGATAATGAAACAAATTGTGTACGAGGTGATGTAAAACAAATACAGCATGGTTTATTTTGTGGAAAAAGTGCATAATTACTGGGGTTGGCTGATTTTTGGCCGACTCCCTCCACTTCACATTGGGACTAGGGGTGTGCATTGACGGGTTGTACGGGAACTGTACGGGAACCGGGCACCCGATTGGAAAAAAAAATGAGTACCTGGGTACCTGTTAAAGAAAGCCAACCCAAAAATTCAAATATTGAGAGTTGCTGTCCAAATGTGTACAGTGAGCTTTATAGTTTTGTGGTGACAACTGCAACTTTTGTGAAAAGTGGTTTTTGTTTGTCCATATGTAACCTGGTTTTCATTTTGAAATTTCCCCACAAATGACATTCAAAACATTTCTTTTTCATTGTCTGAGAAGTTACTAAGTAATTTGTAAAGTTGGTTACGGGTACCTGATCCCATAATCTGAAACTGGTTCCTGACATCAGCGGTCGGGTACTGGGGTACCCGGTTCCAATGCACAGCCCTAATAGGGAGGTGGTCAACTCAACTAACATTGAGGGACCAGTAATGCTGCGCTACTTGATGGTAGTATTCGCAGTTGACCAAATACTACCAGATATCCATACATACATATGTAACCTACTCCTCAGTCCTCCATATTCTTTGGCTAGACTGTCACTTATTTCTCCCCTCACTCTGGAATAAAACAGGTACATGTACCTGTGAGGAGGAGTTGTGATTGATTTAAGCTGTTTACTCCCCAGGGATCTGATATGACCTGATAATAATAATAATAATAATAATCGGCATTTAAGAACGCTCTTTTTAGTAAACTAAATCACAGCGCTTACAAATAATGAACAATTAAAAATAATTCATAAATACCTCAGACAGTTTAGCCATTCCTATTGGTCGAGAGCCCGTCACGTGGCCGGTATTAAACGGATGATAAAGACATGGCTAGCTGGTCTTAAACACTTTTCCAGTGTCACAATAAAATGTGGACTCCTAAAAATCCAGTGCCTCTTATCGTTTCATTGGTTGAACGTTCACAATCCTCACGTAGGCATGCGCAACACTACCAGGGAGTTAGAATTTTATAGTTCTAAATTCAAAACGCAACGCGCCAGGTGCGTTCTGCGCGACATCGCGTAGAACATGATACGCGCGCGTCAATCTCCATAAAAGGGTTGTTTTCATCTTACTCGCCAGCTGAACACTCCATTATTTTGCAGGAGGGATGTTTCAAAAAGCATAAAGTGAATTTGTTGAACAAATCGGGATGTTTTGAACGAATTATATGATTTTTTTTGGCCGAAAAGGTATTTATGAATGGGAATAAATATGTACTCCGTCGGTATTTATCACTCTGTTTAAGACCACTTAGAGTCTGGGTGCTGATAATTACCCTCGCCTCCGGCTCGGGTAATTATCAGCACCCAGACTCTAAGTGGTATTAAACAGAGTGATAAAAACCTCCGGAGCACACATTTATTCCCTTAATAAATAATTTAAGTTAAATAATAAAAACAGGTAGCATAGACAATGAATTGATTATTGGTGGAATAAATTGGTCTTGATCAGCTTCTTGAATTGCTCGAGAGATTTGGCATTTTGAATGGAAAAGGGCAGACTATTCCACTCCTTCGCTGCAGTGACTGTGAAGGTTCTGTCACCAGCTTTGTTGTGGGTACGAGGGGAAGTCAGGCGAAAAGGATTAGAACTAGAACGGAGGACCTTATCAATGTTTTATGTGCCCAATGTGCAGGGGTTGTAATGATGTAGCTACTTGGATGCCGATATTTGTGCTAATGTTCACCTTATAAATTGACGTTATTGTTACTGTCATTCTGTATATTACGGATTCGATTGTAAATTTCTATCAAGCTTATACTAAACAAGCTTTTTTTCTTATTTTTTGGGCAGTTGAGTGAGCAAGCCAAGGAGAGGTCAGTGCCAGCATCTCGGCTAGGCAGGGTCTGGAACTTTGGAGGTAAGATTCATCCTTAAAATGTACGGTTTTTTTGGTCGTCTTAACCCCATTTTGTGTGCAGTTATTAAGCGCAAAATATTCTGCTAACGGTACCCCCATCCAAGTCAAAAGCACAGCGAAGAGGATGTTAACGTTAACCAGAGGCAGAAATCGCTTTTCTGGAGTTCCAGAAGTTAGGGGCCTAAAATCAACTTAAGCCGAAGCCGAAGACGAAATCCCCATATGCGTGCAAGCATCAGTATGTCAAGACTGTGAAATTTCATCAAGGCTATATCAATTACAACACTTCAAGGGACATCGTGTCCTGGAATAGGCCCATTTCGGCTACAAAACGCGTTTTGAATGAGACGATGTTAATCGAAAAGAACATTTTAAAGTAGGATTATATACACCCACACAACTATCCTTTAAAAACTGGGCATTTTTGTATTATGAATTTTGAGACCCCAAAAAATCAGGTTGTTCAGTGATGGTTGTCATTCCAGTCGTTAAGTGTTCGCCTTCTGCGGACGTGTAAGAAAACACATTTGTGCATTGGTGCTGTGTGTAATTTATGTGACACACACAACGTGTATCGTACATTGAACGAAAATGACAGGAAAAACATATGCGTACTTTGTCGTGTCCGATGTAAACAAACAGGTATTTTTTTTGTCTTTTCTTGGAATGGTAAGACATTAGGTTAGTTTCCTTCAACTAGACCTTTTAAAAAGTGTAAGTAAACAATCAAAAACATTAAAATTTTACGAAGATTTTGGGCTGTAATGCCCCTTTAAGCAGCGCCATAAAGTTGGTCCCCGTTTAATATTTTAATACTGACTTTTCCATTCATCTTATCATTAGGTTTAGCTGCTGGGCTTGGCATAGGCGCGGTCACGGAGAAAGCCAAGAGAAGTCTGGGACTAAAAGAAGGTAAGGTGGAACGTCTCTCTGGTCAAGAGATAAATTGGAGCAATTCACAATGTATTGTGCCACCAAGCGTTTGGAAGAAGTCACTTTTCCACTTCACTGTATTTCCTTCATATATCGTCCTTCAGTTAATTATCCATCGTTCTTTGTTAACATGTGATGAAATCATAGAAAATACATCAAATTCCCCAATATTTACCCCCCGAAACCACCCAAATTGGATGATGCAAGAAATTAATTGTAAACACTACCAAATTTTTGTCGCTTGATGACAAGAACTTGTAAATGAAAATGATTTGCTAATGTCTAGAAACAATGTCGCCTGATTTCCATGATGTACGATAAGAAAAGCAGAACCTGTGCCTAGCTTACCTGTATTGTGAATTGCTCGTATTGGACCCAATACATGATCGACCCATTAGTTTGGTTCAATCACCCAATCCTTTCAGGTGCATTTAGAATCAGGAAGATGCCTTCATTTCATTGTTCAGTTGGTGCACTTTCTCTTTGTTTCATTTACAAGCTGTAATGGTTTTAAAAGATTAAAAGCCACATCATACTCCACAAGAACAAATTAGGTGCCACAAAACATTCCCAGCACTATTTGCCGGAATTGAAATGCTTTCAACTTTTGTGAACTCCTAGTGAGAAAACTTGCCTTGACGTCACAAATTCATGGTCATGTTCACTGTTGGGCCAAGTTTGAACCACTTATTTTCAGGACTGTTAATAATTCACTTGTGTTAGAAATGAATAGTCTAGAGCTTATTTTATCTCAACCATTTGAACCTTATCCCAAACTAGACGGCAAGTTTGGAGGAAGTGTACTCTTCAATGAGGCCAACGCTGAGCGTATCGTGGATACTCTGTGCCGAGTGAGGGGAGCTGCGCTGAAACTTGGCCAGATGCTTAGTATTCAAGGTTGGTGCCGACAAGATTGATGAGCTTTTTGTATGCAGTAACTTGTGCCAAATTTTACACAGCTGCTTAAGAAGAAAAACTGCGCAAATGTATGTACTGGTAGCCTTGTTTTTGTTAATCAGTTCGCGCCGGATGACGTGTACAACTGCAAAGTTTTAGCAGTATTCGGAACGGATGACATAATAAACACGCTAAATAACTGTAAGCAACCCGCTCGCAGCGAACGAGGCCGGGAATATGAGTGTGCTGCCCGAGGGTGATGGCTTCAACCCGCCTGGCATGAGGTTGAGTGAAAAGTAATGCTGCGCCTCGTTCCGTTTGTGTCAAAATAATCCCGGCGTGAATTGGATAATGCTAAACCTTGGCCCTTCTTGCTAGGAACCATCCTCAGTCCTCCAAAATCCTGCACTTATGTTCAAATGAAGGATGTCCACTGCCTCCAATCCTCCAAAATCCTCCTCTTCTTCAAACAACATTCAACCTCAATCCTCCAAAATCAACCGAAACTGAATGTCCATGTGCCCTCAATCCTCCACAATCCTCCAAAATTGTATGTTGTACTCAGCCTTAATGCAAGTCCAAAACCGCCCGGAGGACTTTGGAAGATTGAGGAAGGTTAGGGTTAAGCAAGTGGTATTGGAGCTCGGCAAATTGACGAGAAGTATAATTTTTTGTTCTGCCTCCTAAATGTTTCTTTTTCACAGATAATGCCATGATCAGCCCTGAGCTACAGCGAGTGTTTGACAGAGTCAGGCAAAGTGCAGACTTCATGCCAGCCTGGCAAATGGAGGTACGTTAACGTTGTTCCAATCTAAAGAGATATCGTTGTCTCAGGACACAAGTGTCTGAAGATACACTGTAGAGGTAACTCAAAGAGTCAGAAAACATCAATTATAGTGTTACGTACTTGCATTGACCCTATTACTCCAGAGGCAATTTTTAAAGCAACCACCCTGAATCCTCCAAAATACTTGGCATTACAGGGACGTTCTTTCAACTGACATCAAAGCCTATGCAAAGAAATTTTAGCTGGGTTTTATTTTACATTACTCTGACTATACAACATCTTTCGGAATCCTTCAGCAGGTTTTTAGAGACTTTCGGTCCGGTTGGGAAAGCTAAGGGGGGCACTTCATTTTTACTTAACGTGGTGTTTGGTGCCCTTGGAAGTTACACTCAGTGCAGAGAACATGCCATTAGTGTTTTTGCAAAACTGTCCGATGGTTAGTGTTAATGTTGCAAAATCTTTCAAGAGATTGTCTTTGATCCCACAGAGAGTGTTGAAACAGGAGCTCGGAGACGACTGGAGAAGTAAAGTGGCTTCATTTGAGGATCGACCCTTTGCTGCAGCCTCCATAGGTCAGGTCCATGCTGCTACTACACTGGATGGCAGGGAAGTCGCTATGAAAATACAAGTATGCAGTGTGTATAGACCAACCCGAGCACGCTATCACTGTGTATTTACGGAGGCCCACTTCAATGGGGAAAGCATTGTGCTAGTTATTGTACAAAGCAACTACCCTATGACAGATTATCTGAACAATAGATGGAACAATGCTTTCCGCCATTGCAGGGGGCCTCCGTGGGTGTATAGTGATAGCGTGCTCGGAGTGGTCTATAGACTGATCCGATTAGACTGACGCCATAGACCTATCGCCGTTTGCGAGTTAGCCACGCCCCTTAGACAACCCTATGGAATTTGTGTACGCTAAGCTTTGTTTGTCTCAGAAGTTGCGCGTTCCGCGTCCATTTGTAGATCATGTAATTGGACAATATTTCACAAGCTGCGGTAACGCGATTCTAACACGATTCTACCGTGATAGGTCAATTACAGCAGTGTTTGTGATAAGAAAATTTGAGCTGTGTATAGTAGTGATGAGGTACTTGTGAAGGAACACAAATACAGCACAAGTTGGTGCACAGGTCTTGTCACGGTTAAACAGGGGATGAGCAGTAACAAAGTAATGCCTTTGAGCAATTCCACGGTTACTCACGTTACATTTTTGATGTACTTTTGAGTTTCCTTGGGCTGTAATTGTCTTACTGAAAAGGTTTAATAACTGTTATCCCCATGGTAGATAGAGTAGACCTAGACCTACCTAAGCACCAAAGATGACATCAAGAAAATGTGTTATGTATGATAAGCAAGACCCACAAAATCGGTTACTCACGTTACGAAAATGTAACGTGAGTAACCGTGGAATTGCCCCTTTGTTAAAGCTCATTTGAATCGCTAGTTAATTGAATTGGGAATGGATGACTCGTGATGGACTTACAGGGACTTGTGATTCATCACAAGTCCCTCGATCACAAAACTGAGTTCATGCTCTTTGAGGAGTACAACGAGGCACTTTAAGTCACTTAACCCTAGTCCCCTAGGGTGATTTATTAGGAACCTTCCTCACTCTTGTAAATTCCAACACCATATGTGACCTGCCATAGCATAATGAGGAATAACCCCCACACTTGACTTTTCACGTTATGTACATCATGTTAACGCGCAAATCATTGGCTTTCCAATCATACCAAATTTATTTATGTAGCTGAATTTATTCCAAAGATATGACGTAGGAAGGTCAACAGTATCCTGCCAAGTTTCGCAAACCTCATTTCGAGAAAAACGGCTTTGAAAAGAAGACAGGCATTGCGCCGCCAACAGCAGTGGAAAACGTTCTTCAGTTTTTCCACTTTTTTGGGATTTTTTTCCCAACAAAATTGCTTAATCGACTTTGACATCATTTTTCTAGTCTATCTGACTTGATACGTCATTTACTCAAAACAAGGTTTTGGGGGACATTCCTCATTTTGCCTCAGTAGGTCACATATGGTAAACTGTGCACATAAACAGTTGGACTCCGCCAAACCCTTGTGTGTTGGAGTTTGGCGGGATGGGGATTGTTAGGGTCCAAGGACTAATGGATTAAGATTATTTCAATGTCTTTTTTTTTTTGCAGTACCCAGGAGTTGCGCAAGGAATTGATAGTGACATCAATAACCTAATGGCCATACTCAAAGTCTGGAATGTTCTTCCAGAAGGTAAGCATCAAGAGTATGTCTCTAGGTTTTTTTTTTTTTGGGGGGGGGTAAAGTTTGACTAGATTTGGCATTTTTGCCCCTGATGCATCTAATCCAGTTCCTCAAAAGAGCGGTTTTGAAAGAAATACATTTTTAGGAATTTTGGCACTTGTACCCAAGAATTTTGAGCAAACTTCACGCATGCTATATTCAAGCCTATGCGCGCATGAAAGATATGCTTGGAATTTCTCAGGCCTGCTAGCCGGCTTGACCACGTTTGCCAGGGATGGGCTCGGGACCGGCTGCATTTTGGGACGAAGATCCAAATTCGTTCTTGAGCTAAGTCTAGGTTATTAGCTTGTCTTAATATCAAGTATCTCTTTTGCAGTATTTTATGAATTACATTTCTCAAGCAGAGTTGGTATTCATAGCATCAATCAAAGACATGGTTCACTTTAATAGTTCATGTTTCTTGTACAAAATCTCAATCTCTATTGGCTCCAATCGTATCAAAATTTGACAGTCAACATTTGATTTGTTTTCCCCTCAAGGTCTTTACGTTGAGAATGCAGTTGATGTAGCAAGAAGGGAGTTAGCTTGGGAAGTAGACTACACCAGGGAAGCAGAATGGTGCCGTAAATTCAAGTAAGTCACATCTAACATTTCTAATTCTAGAAATTGGCTGAAGTCACGACCTGTTCAAATGGCAATGTCCAAGACGCGGAAAACTAAAGCCATGGCTTTTGTTGCTTTTTGCTACCTAAAGGGAATGTACAACATTTGCTTTGGCTGCAATTTTCAGAAATTAATGGATTTGGAGGATTAGTATGTTATAGAAAATACTGTTAAACTGACTTGTTTCACGTTTTGGGCTCGTAGATGCTGGAAAATACCAAGAAACCCAATCATTTTCTTGTAGTCTGGTTCCCTGACCCCACTTAAGATGAAACGGAGCAATTTATAGACTTTGGGGACTTGTAAGCTCAGAGAATCAGTCTAGCAGGCTTTTTACCTCTTCACAGATATGTAACCAATTGCACAGAAAGTGCGCAATAACTAAATATTAAAAAAAGCCAGTTTTCTGCAACGCTGGCCGGCTGACCAGCCTTGGAAAAACACAATTTTTCTTGAAAATGTCAGCACACCAGGAGCCACGATTTTACAGGATGCTTTAGACTGTCATTCCCTAACAATCCAGTAAAGTATTTCGTGATAATTTGAATACTGTGTTTTTTTTATGTTTGCAAATGTTGTATTCGTGAAAAATATACTGTCCGTGTTCTTCCAAAAAAAAAATTCATTTTTTTAACTCCTTAGAAATTTTCAGTCTCTGTTATTTTCAAGAAACCAATATTTTTTTTTCTATTTTGGGCATCTGCAACCCTCTAAAAAAAACCAAGGCTTTTATTTTGGACTAGTTTTGCCCCTTAAATGCACCTGAATTTATAGCTGAAATGTTGTTGGAAATTGTTGGAAATTTGTAAAGTAATTTCATAAACAAATGTTGGCAGATGTTTTTGAATTCAGTGTCGCAAAAAAAAAGGGGGAATAACTTTTGCATTGCAAGAAAATTCTCAATTAAAACAAATCTGCTTTTCGTAGTGAAACCTGAAAATAGCACGAACAGTACTTCTTTAAAAACCTGAGATTTAAACCTTCTTCTGTTCTGATTTTGTAGGCACATTCTGAGAGACGATCCCAATTTCCTAGTGCCGGAGGTCGTGTCGGAGCTGTCCACCAAGCAGATCCTGACCACTGAACTAGTGGAGGGAGTGTCATTGGACAAAGCTGAAACGTTCGACCAAGAAACTAGAAATCATGTGAGTGGAATGAAGTCTCCACAAGATCGCTTGTGAAGTCAAAGCACAATGCATTGCCCCTTTACTGCAAATCTCGTTCTGGGTGTTTGTTGCGGAAGTTATTTTTTTTTCGCGTTACTTGATATCAGTATGAAACACCCTGTGTGACAGAGTTGTAACGAGTCACTGATTTTCGTGACTCGAGTCAAGTCGAGTCATTTTAAAGAAGTGACTCGAGTCGAGTTGAGTCATTAGGTCAAGAAGGTCAAGTCGAGTTGAGTTGAGTCACAGTGTGTAGTCGAGTCGAGTCGAGTCGAATCACGTATTTAGTTCGAGTCAATTCGAGTCACAAATATTTGAACACTATACAATAAATACATAGAGAAAGTCATTTTTTTGGCTTTGTTAATTTTACATTTAGGCTACTACATGTGGCAACACCACATTTGACTCTTTATGAAAATAAAAAGGGGGTGCCAGCTGATCGCCATTCAACTAATGGGGACACTGATCAAACCACGTATGTATATGTATACATTATTCGCGAACATTCTAACGTGACGTGAACAAAAACCGTCACCGGTGTAAGTCATTGCAAATATTTTTCGCAAAGTTTTGCTTTTATTGTTGGGACTCGAGTCTTATTAGCCTTCCTCGAGTCGAGTCGAGTCATTCTGATGAGGGACTCGAGTCGAGTCGAGTCATTCTGATGAGGGACTCGAGTCGAGTCATTTGCTCACAGTGACTCGAGTCGAGTCGAGTTATTTGCCCTTAGGGACTCAAGTCGAGTCGAGTTATTTGCCCTTAGGGACTCGAGTCGAGTCACCAAAAAATGTGACTCGAGTCAGACTCGAGTCGAGTCATTGACTCGAGTCATTACAACTCTGCTGTGTGATGAAATTTGATGGACATGGTACCATACAGAACCATGCGGGCCACGGTATCAACTACAGAAGGTCCTAAATGTTGTGAGATCACTCTCAAAACCGGTTCTTTGTATTGAGAGATTGCTAAGCTTATGATGTCGTCAACAAACCTCGTTTTTCTATTCCTATCTAAACGCAAAGCTTTGAATCCTATTGAAAAAAAAATGATCAAATTGAATAATCAGTTGTACAATGGTAATTTAAGTTTGAGTGCCATTGAGTCTAAGGCAGACTTTGTATTGTTTTTCTTGTAGATATGTAAGAACATCCTGAGACTGTGCCTAAAGGAAGTGTTTGAATGGCATTGTATGCAGACAGATCCCAACTGGTCCAACTTCCTGTATAACCAAGACACAAACAAGGTAAATGAACTGATTCAATTCCATCTACCAGGGTAAAACCAAAATATCAACACTGATTTTATGAAATTCCCCCATCCAATTTCCATAGGTCTTTCTCAAATGATGTCACTTCATACAGATTGCTACGTGCATCGGCATTTTGGGCGTCAGATTTTTGTGACGCGCATCGACTGGGCCGTAATTCAAAGAAATTGCAATATTCCTACGAAGATGGTGTCCTATGAGAGAGATCTCATTTCGATGCTGTATAACTCAACCATGAGTCGGAAGTTGCCAGAGCCTTTTTTTTTTTTAGTATTAACAGGCACTTAAAGGGAAGATACAACATTTGCAAGCATCAAAAAAAGAAATGATCAAATTATCACAAAATACCTTACTGGATTGTTAGGGAATGACAGTCTAAAACATCTTGTAAAATCGTGGCTCCTGATGTGCTGACATTTTCAAGAAAGACTGTATTTTTCCAACACTGGTAGGCCGACCAGCGTTGTGAAAAAAACTGGTTTTTTTTCTTCAAAAACTGCTCCTAGTTTTTCATATTTAGCTATTCCGCATTTACTTTGCAATTGATTACACACCTGTGAAGGAGTACAAGCCATGCTAGACTGATTCTTTGACCTTACCATTCCCCAAAGTCTACAAATTGCTCTGTTTCATCTTAAGTGGGGCCAGGGAACCAGACTACAAGAACATGATTGGTTTTCTATGTTTGTCCAGCATCTACAAGCCCAAAACGTGAAACAAGTCAGTTTAAAAATCTTTGCTACATATTACCAACCCCCCAAATCCATCCATTTCTGAAAATTACAGCAAAAGCAAATGTTGTACATTCCCTTTAAACAAATCTTGCACAATGACAATTTATCGAAATAAAGAGCTTGATATGCTCTTCTAATGCAAGTAATAAGTGAAAAGATGTCCTTATCCCCTCATAAAAAGACAAAAAATAACAATCAAACCCGGTGAAAATTACATCCAAGCTAATCTGTTGCAAAATTTGCAAAATATTCATGCTTTCATCTTCTTTTCTCAACAAGCAATTTACTAAGTTCTTTTTTTGCTTAATTGTTTCAGATTTTTTCTTCAAAATTGTTATTTCGAGTAGTATCAATTTTTCAGATATAAATGTTACTTTAGATTGTCCTGTTGTCTCTTTCATACAGCTTGCTCTAATAGACTTTGGTGCTTCCAGGGAATTCCCCAAGTCATTTGTGGATGATTACATCAAGGTAAGATCTGTGCTAAGATCCGTTACCATTGCCAGTCATTCTGTTGCTTCACATCATGTTCGCAAATGCGTACACTCAGCTATCGGAGACATTACCAAAATAGCAGTTCATGTTGTAATTGAACTGTCAGCCTCTTATGAAAGCCTGGTCTCTCTGGCTAAGTTTGCTTTGGGACAAAGACAAACAGCACATGCAGCGAGGGATGTGTATGCTATTGTACACGCATAGCATGTGTAGCAAGTCCCAACTGACGTTACAAGACCACACAATTTGATGACCCATCCTGTGAATTGTTCACATGTGAGAGCTGTCTAATGTGTGAGATGCCTCTGCATATTGTTTTGGTGTCACAGAGCATTTTATTTGAGTTATGCCTTTCTTGGAATTTGTTTGTCGAATTGAGTTGTTCATGAGATGAGTTAATGCGAAATCAGTATTTTTAATGGAATTATTTTCAATGAAATTTGCAGGTAATCAAGGGAGCATCGTCTGGTAGCAGAGATGATGTCTTGGAGTATTCCAAGAGGCTGGGATTCCTGACGGGCTATGAGTCCAAGGTAAAGTCTAGCGAGCCAGTTGATCTGTTGCGAGCTGGGCAGTGCTATTGTATAGGATAACCATTTATAAACGCCAATGAATGGGCTAAATCAGGCATTATATAAAACAAATAGTTTTTTTTCACATTCGTGCAATGGACAGAATAATTTCATTTGGTGACAGATGGAACGTTCTGATCGACTCGGCACTGTCACTTCATGACATTATTCTTACCATTGCACTCATAAACATTCCTTGTTTGTATACTATTCACATTACTGATCTTGGACATTCTGATCGGGGCTGTTTAAACCCATGACTGAATTAAGATTCTCATTCAAAATTGTGCCTTACCATAATTAATAATTTTAATATCCTCCCAACTGACATAGATCACAACATTATCAGTAGAATTTTGACTTTTATAAGGGGGCAAGGGAGTGGCCAAACCCAATTTTTATAAGGGGTGTGGGTTGCTGACTGGTATGGATGGAAAGTAGTGGGGATAAAAAAAAGGCAAAATTTTGGAAAGGGGGAAATTGCCCCCTTTCCTCTGTTGGATATGCCACTAATTTGTACCATGGTAACAGCAATAATAACGAGTGATAACAGATCAGGATCTTGGTGACTATAAGTGCCACAAGTGCTAAGTGCTAACTGTGCCAAAAAAATGGATTCTTTCATATATGTGTCTCCACGTTTGACTTGGTACAGGTAATGGAGAAAGCCCACGTTGACGCCGTCATGATTCTAGGAGAGCCCTTCTCAACCGACGAACCCTTTGACTTTGCGACGCAAGACACCACAAGACGCATCCAGTCCATCCTACCGATCATGCTCAACCACAGACTGGGCCCGCCTCCCGAGGAAAGCTACTCCTTGCACCGTAAGATGTCCGGCGCCTTCTTGCTCTGCACAAAGCTGAGAGCCCAGATTGGCTGTAAGGGGCTGTTTGATGGCATCTACTCCAGATACCAGTTTGACTGAGAAGGCTAAGAGCAGGCTTCAGTAAGGACTGTCTATGGGCTCCGTTCACAAGTACCCCCTCAATGGTAAAAGAAGGGAGAGTTGGGGGAGACCACTGGGAGAGACATTGGCAAGCATTGCTGATGATGCTGGATGCTCAAGCAAAGATGCTATGGCTTTGTGAACATTCATAATAAAATGTGATGTGCGTACCTCGCGCTATACGCACGTGGAATGACCCATTTACAGGGCTTTCAAAAGTGGTCAAACATAGCCCTCTCTTGTTCTTGCACGAAACCCATAGCTTCTTTAAAGTCTGCAGACAATGTAATTTTCCTGAGTTACTGCTGGGTGTGTGAGCTTGGTAGGCTAATTTGCCTTTTGTAACAAAGGTTAATTGGTATGCTAATTTATCTTCAAGCAATCTTCAATCCTGGTTGGTTGATCCATGGCAACAATAAGTGCGGTATTTTCGCACATACATGTAGCAGGGTCCTTATTGCACTCTGTGTATAATGCGGTTCTTGCATGCGTTCTAGGATAACCACTGAAAAGTCCCTACAGCGTGGGCGTTCCCTTTTTGCTGTACATCAAGTTTGCTCGAAGATAAAATTTTTATCCCACTTGTGCTCGTGGAACAGGAAAAATGAAGTTCGTCTGTGTCAATTGTGCCACTCAGCCTTTGGCCTCATGGCATAAGGGGTACAGAGGCCCTACCTTTTTCTGTGTTCTACTCGTGCTCGTTGGTAACTAATATTTACGACCACCTACAGACTCTGTAAATTATGGATTGTTTGGTAGGAATTAAATCATGTACTGCCTCATCAACTTCTCAGGCATTATCAAACATTTGACTAAGTAAGCAGGCATCCCTGTCCCCAGCATTTTTAAAATTTTGACAGGTAATGGACATCTTTACTCATTAAAGATGGTTTTTTTTTGGGGGGGGGGGGTTCGGTTAAGTCCTACAGTAATTAAAATGTACATTCAAAGTCTTTATTTCTTTGTTATAAAGTAGGCAGCCATCCGAAGTTTTAATCCATTGTGATCAGTAGGTAGGGGGCGCTTTGGGCAAGTATAACACGCCCAAGCCAATGGTTAATCAGTGCTGCTAGAATTCTGATAGCCTGTGGCGTCAGGGAAAAACATTGAATATTCATACGATGGAATTTTTGCGTCGGGGTGATATAAATCAAATTAGGTTTTGCCCTTCACCGACGTTATATCACCCCGACGCAAAAATTCCATTTTATGAATAGTTAATGTGGTACCCGCTGCTATGTACATTTGATTCGAACCAGCCAAACGATCCTGTTAGCTCGGTGGTCGAGTGGTAAGACGTCTGCACTAGAAAGCAGGAGGTCATGGGTTCGAGTCCCACCCGAGTGATTTTTCCAACTTTCACTCGGGAGGTAACACACTGAGTATACAGTGTTTAAACGTCGGTGAAGGGCAAAACCTAATTTGAAAAACATTGAAGTAATTTTTGTTTGTCGTCTCATTCTCTAACCCATTAGTCCCCGTTCTCCCCAAACTGATGTGCCTGTTACTCCTTGTACTGCCCCAAACTGCCCCAGCGTTGTATGGTTTGGATGCATCAGGGGAAAAAATACAAAACGCATGTAATGCAATGCTGTACAGGTGCTATGGGTTCAATGCAGGTTTATGGATTGTCATTTGTGTGCTATCCATATGTTTTTCAAACGATTATTTTTTTTTGCTTATCAAATCTTTTGATTATACAAACCTTTGTTTTGAGTTTAATTTCGTTTAATTTCATAAGTTTGTTTAAACATGTCATGTATAAACCCCTGTACAAAAGCTTTGGGCATCCTTCTTTGAATAAGGTATGAAAATATTGTTTTTACAATTGCTGTTGAATTGCAAAATGAACTGCATCAAATTTTTTATACATTGCTAAGATATCTGATATTCTGTTTTTATACAAATACAGAATAAATCCCTGTCATCTGATTGGTAGGTCATTGATCACATGTCAGTGAATTATTTGCCCCAACCCATGGCCCAGCTGCACTGCAAAAATAGAAGTTCCATATAAGTGGGTACAGCACTCAAGAGTATTTTTTGGTATTTGGTATCTGCATACGTAATGTTTGTAGTACTATGTGGTACTTTACCCCAAATGAACTCTCAGGGGGTTAGGGTTAAGGTTTAACATTATTTTTTAATGAGTGTAAACACATGTACAGTGTATGTAAAATTGTAGATGTATTTAGTGCAATCCATCGTTTTGTGCCTATAATGTTAATAGGACAAAATATACCCTGGAGGCCGGGTTAGGGTTAATAAGGTTAATTAAAGCAGATTTTCAGTAAACTCTTTTTTTCAGTTCAGTGAAACAAAATATTTCCCACCTGATGACAGTGACATTTGTGAATAGGTATTTTCATTTGCAATTCACTTTGGTTTAATTTTCAACAATAAAAGTTAATGATAACGTGTAAAATAGGACTTTGTAGACATTACAAACAGTTTGGAAATTAAATAAAATGTAGTGACTATGTTTCTCAAGTTTTTCACTCGGAGATACAAAACATTACCTGTTTTTAATACATTGATGATGTTTCATTGTTTGGAAATAAAATAGCAAATGAAGATCATTTTAAAATACAAGTTGGGAATGTGTCAATACTTTAAATGAAGTCACAAGTATTAAATAGTCACATAATGGATAGATCTGCATTTTTAAGAATATTGAAAAAAAAATGTAAACATAATTACAAAGCAAATCAATTTTGTCCCTACAAAAAGTTCACATACATTTGTCTTAGATATTCAACAAATCACTTGAAATCTTACTGAAGCCAATATGTAAACAGGCATAAACAATATTTGGACAAATTTTGATCTACAAAATCAGAAAAATATAAATACTGATTTCAATTAAAAAATCTTACGTCAAAAGATGCTGATTTATTAAATTATTTTAAAACAGAAAAACCCTGTCTCTATCTTAATTTTTTTTTTTAAAGCTTAGCCGAAATGGTGTCTCTTGTTTTGAAATATTTCCATACATAAATTAATGTTTGAGCGACTGAAAAAAACCAAAAACCTAGAGCTGAGGACAATTTTCTTTTAGCAGTTTTAATGTCATTTACAAAGTACAATGAGAAAGTGCCTATAATGAACAAGTTTTTCTGATGTAGTTCTTATAACGTGCATGTAGATGTTTAAGCATTGCATAACATCTACCTCCTAGGACCATGGATCATCAAATTTCATCATGTTGGAATACATGCTCTGACTGCAATTTGATTGGGGTCATTCACTTTAGATGGAGATCACTGGAGATGTTCATTGGGCTCGATGGAGGCATTTGTCCACACATGCTCCCCTCCCCTGTCTCCCGCATCCTCCGTAGTAAGACACTGTTCGCCACGAACCAAGAATGCTTAAGTTACAGCCAGCCACAGAGTAAGGGACTACTCGCATTGCCCTTTGCACTGGCACTTAAGTGATCTGTCCAATGTTGGTCTGTGCAGTCGCATCAGCTTATTTAGGCAACACTGTCTCAGCACTCCTCGAAATCTTAATGTGCACTGCCGAGTTGCTCCTTTCTCTCGTCCCTGGCTCCACGTCGTCCCGTCTGGGCTCCAAATCATCCAACAGTTCCACCGTCGACGTGTTGACGGATATCTGCAATGTGTACAGGCTACACTTCTGCAGCTGGAGAGCGAGGTTAACCGCCAGGTTCACTGCAGCCCCCAAACCGTGGACGTGAATTTCGTCCACCCCGGTGTCAAGCATTTCCTGACAGCGAGCCATTTGGGCCTTGAAATCGGTCCTGTTGGAAACATAAACGTCATTTTTACGCTTGGGAAGTCTGCGGGGAAGTCTCTTCCGTAGTATGTACTCAGTTGGGTCAATTTTAGGCAGGTTTTTGTCCGCATGATTTAGTTGACCACTCGAGTTCTCGCCCACTTCGTTTTCTTTCATGGGCGTCGCCATCTTGCTTTGAAACCTCCTCGTTCTCAATGATGACTTTGGTATACAATTGCACTTCAAAAAACAAAATACCAAAATTACCTCTGCTGTAGAGGTTGGCAACGCGATGATGAAATAGATCTGGTACCTAGCCTTTGATGGTACAGATCTCCATTTTACAGTGAACGCAGTCACGACCACCAGACTAGACTGCAGAAAAGGTAAATAGATTTTTAAAGAATGGGTTGCACACGTTGCCACTTCTGTTTAGCAATTTAAATGTCACATTTGTGTAAGTTCAGTTGTGGTTTTACCTTCTTTGCATCGGCATAATCATGTTCAAGCTGTAAAGCCATTTCCAGTGGTCAAGATGTCAGATTCCGTGGAGAGTTTTCAGGAAAGGCAAGACAATGAATCGGAGGTGTTGCAAGCCATCTTCATGGATGACTTTGTGGACGTAAACAAGGGCGACCACAGGGTGAGATCCCATACCAGTTGTGTAAATATTATTATTAATGTCAATAATTTCATCATATTCACTGAAAATATTACACTAGGCCTATATTATTTGGGAGCAAGTTCAAGGAGGGGCCAAGTATATATTTGAGAACGTGTTCATCCATTTTAATTTTTATGACTAAAATTGGAAAAGCAAATTATGATTTAATTCAAATTTTAATCTCAATTTCAATTCTTGCTAAACTAAAAAATGTGTAGGCCCATATTTCATTTTATCATCCGTGTACTTTAATGAGATTTTATGGGTTTTAAAAAAATTTTATTTGTTTTTTTTTTACCTTAATTAACCCTTACTCTCTGAGGGTAGTTTACTGCATGTCAGTTGGTTATGCCAATGCCCTCCAGCTGCAGTTATTTGGCAGATAACAAGTCTTAACAGTGAAGGCTCCAATTGGCAGGAGTTGGAGGCCCTGGAGGGTGCCTGATACTGACCAGCTGGGGGCACTTGATTGTTATCAGAGGACTCTCATTGTTCTCTGTGGCATGTATTGGAGTGCCTGTCCAGTTACCCTTGAAATGACATGGCAGATATTGGAGGGCCATGCAAAAAACATAGGAGATTTTCTTGAGGCACAATTGGCATGCGTTGGAGGGTCTAGTAGGGTAAGGGTTAATCATAAACACTTTTAGTTTTAATGTGCATATATTTATTTTAGTTTATTATTTAGGCCTAGGCCTAACAGTTAATGTGTATGTTTTTATTTTTTTATGTTATTTCATCATTCCTGTAATTTGACAATAAAACTGTTTTAAATTTTCTTCCCAGTTCTTTTGATCACATTTCAAAGCAGGAGGATATTTTGCTGAGTAGGCAGTATTTAGATTTTTTGGAGGAATTATATGGCATGGGGTCAAACAAATGCGCAACACCGTTGTCAGGTACATACATGTAGTGTATGAATCTTACATTTCAAAGTTGGGTACGGAAGGCTTATTTTTTTTACAAAAGATAATAAATCATGAAACCTTAGTTAAATATAAAAGTACATGTACATGTAGGCCCTGTTTAATGTTGGTACATGTTGGATCCCATTTTACTTTGTCCAAAGACAGACAATGTTAAAGGGAAGATACAACATTTGCAAACATTACAAAATGAAATGATCAAATTATCCCTAAATACCTTGCTGGATTGTTAGGGAATGACAGTCTAAAACATCCTGTAAATCGTGGTTCCTGGTGTGCTGACATTTTCAAGAAAAATGGTATTTTTCCAACGCTGGTCGGCCGACCAGCGTTGGAGAAAACTGGCTTTTTTTCAAAACTGCTCCTAATTTTTCATAATTAGTTATTCCGTGTTTTCTTTGCAATTGATTACACACCTGTGAAGGGGTACAAGCCTACTAGACTAACTCTCTGATCTTACAATTCCCCAAAGTCTATAAATTCTCCGTTTCATCTTAAGTGGGGTCTGGGAACCAGACTACAAGAACATGTATGGTTTTCTTGGTTTTTCCAACATCTACAAGCCCAAAATGTGAAACAAGTTATTTTAACAATATTTGCTAAAACATACTAATCCTCCAAATCCATTTATTTCTGAAAATTGCAGCAAAAGCAAATGTTGTACATTCCCTTTAAGATACATTCACCCTAGCATTAGAATACTATCATTGTGGTTTTCTTTCTGAGCTAAGTACAATTGTACATGAAGGGGCATCCCTACCTGTCATTGTTATATCCCTCCCTATCCCAGTATCCCTGCTTGCCGAACATCACACCCCAATTCCTCACCTAACTTTACCTAACTCCCTGTCTTATCATGTTTTTATATATGCTCTATACTCTTCCCCACATATATCTCACATTTCAGGATGGGATGAACATCAAGCTTCACCTGACACCACAGCAAGGCATGAGTGGGTGTGGGAACGCCCACGTTACCGTCGATATGAGGGTTACTTGCCCACCCAGATATCCTGAAGTGTAAGTAAGATCAACCCTAGTCCCTAACCCTTCTAGATCCCTCAAACTCAACCGGGAGAGTTTTCGAGGATTTTGCAGGATTGAGGCAGGTGTGTACGTAGAGCTCAGATAGGATTGCTTTTGTAGGAGACCATGCCTGAGCAAGTGTGCATAGCCCAAGTACATGTGCATAGCCCATTAGCATTGTGTCTGGGTGATTTTATGATGACTCTTGTGCCTCCCTGCGTTGATTTGAAATCCTTAGAGTTGTTAATTTTTATCAATTTTAATCTCCATCTGTTCAGTGACCTCTCTCTTCTTTCCACAGGCTTCCAGATATAGTCTTTGAGAGGGAGAAAGGATTATCCACGGATAAGCTCAAACACCTCAGCAAGGAGATCAACAGTATGGCCAAGAAACTTAAGGGAGAGGTGAGATTTCCAGAGGATTTTGTTTTGTTAACATTTTTTTGGAGAGGGAGGCTATTTAACTCAACCTGCCCAGTGCTCAATTTAAAAAAAAAATTCAACAATTGTACACTTCTGTGTCCTCCAACTAGTTCCCAGAATTTTGTCAGAGTTATGCATCAGTTATATCAACAAAACATTGCAATGGGTATGCTGCCATCTTTTCATGTAGCTAGGGTTAGGTTTTGTGTGCACACTACCACTGTGTGATGTTCCACGATTGATTAGGAAAGTGCATGCATAGTAGACTATTGCACGCTCAACCCATGTGATAGTCGACTGCTCATGCATATTTACCCCATGTGTGTTAATCGTCGCAAGCATGCCTGGGCTGACCCGTAATGGTGAATGGGTCTGTAAGAATCCATCTCTCGCTCATGAATATGTGTGAGGTTTAGTAATAGGAGCTTGACCCTGTGATTTTTCCATCCTCCGAGGGTCCCCGTGGGTACCGGCTTTATCTGGGGAGTGATTATGAATAGCAAATTACCTAACCAACAAGTATGAAATTGTTTGAAGTCATTCTTAATGGTACTTGAATGGTAACAGGGACAGGATAAATGTCACACTTTGGACCCTAATTTATTTTAGAATGACCCATATGTAGGGCAGAGCAAGCATACGCAGCTAATATTTACCCAACCCCTTAACTGCTTCTGTGCAGCAATACATGTTTCCTCTAAATATAAATCCTCAAATTTTGTGTAAAGAGGAAAAATCTAGCATTCAAAACATCTTTCTACCCTTTCTTGACCCGCCTTCCGTGTTATGAACAATTTTTGTCTTTTTTTTAAAAACTGAGGTAACCATTACCCCAAAATTCTTTGTGTTCACTAAATTCACCTTAGGCCTTTGGGGAAAGTCTGTTAGCGATGTTGTTTCAAACTGTACAAGTTTCTTTGTAATAAGTGTACAATATTATAATAGTTGCTTTACAATCATGCAGTAATCAAATGTGCTTGTATTTTATTTCATTGTGTTGTATTGTATTTGTAATGTATTGTATTTGTACATGTGTGTTGTCATTGGTAATGTATGCAGGGCCTCAATAGAAACCAGTTTTAAGCTGTTTGGACATACCCTGGGTAAAGATATGTAGTACCTAAATATATAAAACAGAATATACAGAAAGTTCAGTTTGGCGGACAAGTATCAACCATTCCTCTTTTCTCCTGATGAATCTGAAGGTGATGATTTTAGAACTTGCTCAGCATGTACAAGCATTCCTTCATGCCCACAATGTACCGGGCTACAAATCCTTCTACGAAGAGATGATGAGCAACAAGAAAAAGGAGCAGGAAAAGGAAGCAAAGGAGCGAGAGAAACAGCAGCAACTACAGAGGAAAAGAGAAGAAAAAGAGGTACATGGATTGTAGATAATGGACTGACTTTGTTTAAAGGCTAGTTCATACAGCTGACTGCTAATGGGCTCTGTGCAAAAGTACCCCCTCAACGGTAAGAAAGGGAGAGTTGGGGGAGACCACTGGGAGAGACATTTGAATACCCCACGGACGATACCTTATGCTCACGCTTTAGCTTTATGCCCATTCAGAATAAAATTAGTTTTGTGTTCTTGCATGCAGTACGTGCATGCTGTGTGCCCTGTTCACTGGGTTCATGAAAGTAGTAAAAACAAAATCACTCTCTTGTTCATGCATGAAGGCCACATCTGTGAGCTCTCATAGTCAAGTTTCAAACCTTGAGCAAATGCAAACAGAAAGTGTGACGTTAAACTCATTCTAATTATTTCCCCACTTGCAGCCTTTCAAAATTGGGCCCAGAAGAGTCATCTGATGTTTCCATCAAGTTTTATCTAAATTTTGATATAATTTTCTTTATTGCAGAGGATGGAAATTGAGGAAGAAATATTGAAAATGCAGTCAGCCAAAGAGGAAATTAAAAGAAGGAAAGAGCTTGCAAATAAGGTAAAACTATCCAAATGTTTAAGATACAATGTAGTATGATGTTTAGTAAACACATAGCAAATGAAAATGTATTATAAAATGGAATTTTGCGTCGGGGTGATATAAATCAAATAAGGTTTTGCCCTTCACCGACGTTTAAACACTGTATACTCAGTGTGTTACCTCCCGAGTGAAAGTTGGAAAAAATCACTCGGGTGGGACTCGAACCCACGACCTCCTGCTTTCTAGTGCAGATGTCTTACCACTTGACCAAATAATATATTATTATAAGATGAAATTTTGCGTCGGGGTGATATAAATCAAATTAGGTTTTGCCTATATAAGAATCAGAGAAAGTATTTTGGCTGTTTGGACCCATATCCTGTAAATTGCCGAAATTTGAGAAAATATTGATGAGCCCTACCTGTGTATTCAGCTTGTGATTATTTTCCTTTGAGATTTCAGAAAGCTTTCAGCATGTAATGCTTATGAAAATATGTCACTGAAGGGCAACACGCAGTGTGGAAATTGTACCTCGCCCTAATGCAAAATCCATCAAAAATCATAGATATGTTGGATTTTAAGGTGGTGTCTTTGATCAATTTTAGGAATCTGAGGCTACAGACCAAACTGTTCCTCCATCCCCGGAGAAGACTAAGGAAGTCAGTGGGAGGAACCAAAGAGACTCCGCCCCTAACAGAGGCAAGAGGCAGCCTGACCCGGTGGATGCAGGGAGTGATAACAGCAGAGGCAGAGTAAGGTATGCGTAGTGGATTCAAATACTTTATATCAGTGTTTCACAACTGAACTGTGACGTCAACGTATAACATGAGTTCTTGGAGAATCAGCATAGCATGTTTTGGGTCAATAAAGTCTGGTTCATACTTCAGGCGAATGTGAAAGAAAGTTGACCTCTCAAAACATTCACATCAAAATCGTACCCGGAGTCGAAATGTGTCATCTTTTGTGAAACCCAGTGCAAAATCTTGCCCTGATATCACAAATTCATATTTGCATTCACTTTCAAAAAGGAGTATGAACTTAGCCTTGAGGAGCAGGTCTTGGGCTCGAGTCCCACCCAAAAATTGTTCCAGAAAGCTCAGTCAAAACCTATGAATAGCTTGGCCTTAAAGGGAAAATACAACATTTGCAAACATCAAAAAATAAAACTACCAAATCATTTTGAAATACCTTGCTGGACTGTTAGTGAATGACAGTGTAAAGCATCCTGTAAAATCATGGCACCTGGTATACTGTCATTTTCAAGAAAAGTGGTATTTTTGTATCAATTTCCAACGCTGATCGGCCGACCAGCGTTGGAAAAAACTGGCTTTTTTTTCAAATACTGGCCCCAGTTGACCATTGCACTTGTTTGCAATCGATTACACACCTATGAACGGGTACAAGCCAGCTAGACTGGTTCCCTGACCTTACAATTCCCCAATGTATGTAAACTGCTCTGTTTCTTCTTAAATGGAGTCAGGGAACCAGACTACAGGAAAATGATTGTTTTTCTTGGTTTTTATAGCATTTTCGAAACCAAAACCTCAAAAAAGTCAGTGTAACTATATTTGCTATATATTTCCAACCCCCCAATTCCATCCATTTCTGAAAATTACAGCAAAAGCAAATGATGTATATTCCCTTTAATGACTCTGTGCATGAGCAAGAGATGGTGCTTTGTGACCACTTCCGAGATCTCCAGTAGGAGGGACACATGGCATTCTTGTACTGGTCCACACGCTTATTATTAAACTGAAGTACACACAATTGATTAATCTGAATCTGCTCAAGCCCATAACGTCTTCGCTTGAGCGTCAGGCGCCTTCAACAATGTGTTGGATAGACCCTCCCAGTAGGCTTCCCCAACTCTCTCTTTGTAACCATTGAAGAGATACTTATGCTCAAAGTCCATAAAAGTTAAAAAGGTTGATAAATGGGGCTCTTGAAAATGTGGCCCACTAAAGCAGGGAGCAAAGCAAATATGGAGCAATTTAATTGAAATAACCAAGGAAATGAGACATGCACATTTGATTCAAGTACTAACGTTCTTGAAGTAAACTTTCATAAAAGCACTTTACAAAGTGAACAGGGCTGCAGTTTACATATTAGAGTGTAATCTATTTTTCTCTCTCCCATAGGACGTTAAGTGAAAGTAAGAACACAAAGCACCAATCAGAGAATGAAGCACCAAACCAAAGACATCCCAAAGCTAGACGATCGAGGAGTGACAGTTACCACAGAGGAGTCGTGACGACCGTCTTCAACACCAAAACAGAACGGACTATCAACAGAGGCCAAGTTATAAGTAAGTGCGTAACTGTAGGTCTTAGCATTCCGGAACAGGCTGAAGTCCAAATCAAGGACGTTGTTAGAGGGATGAATGTGGGAGTTTGTCGCACTACCACCCCTGTCATTTTTATTGAAAAACTTTTGCAATGTTGTGGGGCGCTGTGGTCCAATGTGGGGCGCTGTGGTCCAATGGTTACGATGTTCGACTTGTGTGCTATGGTACATGGGTTCGAACCCTGGCGGGGACCATGGTGCTTGTGCTCTTGGGCAAGGCATTTTACTACGATTGCCTCTGTCCACCCAGGAGTTGAACTGGGTACCTGTGAAGGTAGAGACCAAATTGCGCTGATCTCGAGCTGCTGCAGAAAAAAATTGTCTCATTCCTGATGAACAGGGATAATCATTGCATTCGATCATATTCATATGGAATTTGCACAATATAAATATATCATAATAATAATTATAATATTATTATGATAGGGTATAAAAAAGCAAAACCATGGGGAAAAAAAGAAGACTTCTGTTTGGAAGAGATGCAATGTTTGGAAGAGATGAAAAGTTTTAACAATGAACAGTCCCACCTTGTGCCAGATGACGCCCCTTTTTTAAAATTTGTATTGTTACGGCTTGCAAATTCCATCATTATGAGACATTGAAAGTAAGTTTTATTATTATAACACCTCACCCACAGATTGTGGGTCTTGATTGGCCAAGAGTGAGTCGCATAGTATTTGCCTTTTTTGCTATCTTGCTGTGCACGGCCTTAAAGAATATACGCAACCAAAGTATTACACGCATAGCAACCGATATTGTGTGCAAATTCCCAAGCGCTAGCGCAACAGAGTTGGTTCCAAACGTTATTTTCGTGAAGGGGTGGTTTGTAAAAAACCAAGAAAATTTTCAACTAATTTCGTATTGAAATAGAAATACATTTTAATTGTAGTTAGATTAAATTACTCAGTTATCTCTTAAAATCAAGAAGAATCAAGAAGAATATTTCCCTCTGCTTTGTCTACGGAAAATAAAATGCTCCATGGATCGCCTAGGAGGCTAGTTTTACTATGCCACATCAATATTTGTATATTAGCCAATGTTTACAAATGGAATATACACTTTATACTTGTCAAATTATTTCCAGCTCGAAAAATGATTCAGTTCTTGGTGGACTGGTTCCCTCCCATCTATCAGAATCAATAATGTAGGTACCGAGAACTACTGTAGTTTACCTGCGAGGTGGATCTGTTTGTGGACAAAAGCAACGTGAAACAAAAGGCCCTTTTTTCAGAGGGTTGCAGATACTCAAAATAGAAGAGAAAGTAGTTTGTTTTCATTACAAAGCATACACGTTGAAAATTTGTAAGCAGAAAAGTAATTGAAGACAACAGACAGTAGATCAGTTTGCATTTTGACTTATATTCACCAACCCCTATTTCTCCCCAAGATCCGATCCCAAAATGGTAATTTTGTTTTCTTTGCGCAGGTTACAGTGATAAAGGGAGCACCACCTACGTAGGTATGGACAGCCAGTCAGGAGAGCTAGTCACCCTCAGAGAATGGGTCATGAAATGGAAGCACGGAAAGGGACGGAAACCCTTACCAGATGAGGAACAGGCTGCAGAAAATTGCATCAAACAGGTAAGAACAAAAAAGTCACCATTTTGCTTGATATATATCTAGCAACATGGTGACTATGTAGAAAAAAATACATTTATAACTTAGTCACCATATTTTGACATGTTCTAATATGTTGCCATTTCATCCAGTTTTATGAAATGGTTTGCAGCTGTGATGCGTCACAGGGATAACATACGTCACATGGATAACATACAGTACTGCAATGCTCAGAAGTTGTGACGTGTTTCATAAACTTTGGTACTGGGTTCATGTCCCACCCTAGTTGACGTGGATTTTAGTCCCTGCCTGTTGGTATACATTTCCCCTAAATAGCAGTCTAGATGGTTTTCCACCCTTCCCTAAAACTGAAAATGTCTTCATCTTTTCTCTTGTATTTGAGGCTTCCCATTTAATTGGATGTTAATATCTATGATAATCATTAAGTATTTCATTCTATTTCTAATTCCTGTATTTTGTAGCTTGGTACCATAGAGCAAGAGTTGCTGTCACTCATTAAGCTGGAGCATCCCAACTTGGTGCACTACCTTGCAATCAAACACACACAAGGCAAGGAGGCAGTCACTGTGGAGGTGAGACTACACTGATCTGAATCATTTGAAATTCATTGTCAGTTCAAGGTTTACCTAGGAATTGACCTGTAAAAAGTAAAATCAGGCGGTGTTTATCTCCGGTTTCAGTGGCATGAAACGACTGAGAATATTTCTACTCCCCCTGGATGGGATGCCAGTCCATCAAAGGTTACTCCCCGGCTAATGCCGGTGAGCGTCAGTCGGCAGTGTGTTCGATTGTTTCTCCCAGTGGTCTCCCCCAACTCTGCTTTTCTTACCGTTGAGGTGTTGTTTGGGTGCAAAGCTATTAATGCCAATGAATGGGCTAAACCTGGCCCATTATAAAACCAGATTCGTGAAAAGACTTACAGTGAATAGCCATTCCGAATCGGTGGAATAAAAATGTATGGGTGCACACTGTAAATAGGCCTAAACCCATCCGCCGAGCTCATGAATAAAAGTTATACCCTCAAAATATTCTATATTAGAGAGTTCTGAGAGCCATAAAATTGGAAAATGAAGAGAAATGAAGAGATATGGCAATGAACCTCTGGCCCGGACTTGAGGCTTCCAATTCCGAGCATTTTGGATGCAATTGGGCTTGAAAGTGGCGCTATTTTGCCATGTTGTGGAGGGATTGTTTTTCAAGATGGCTACTTTTCTGCTTTGAGAAGAATAGGGGTGGTCTTCTTTGGGTGAAAATTTCTCAAAAATTCAATGGTCAACCCACCAAAAATTAAAAGAAAATGAGAGATGACATGTTGATTATCATTTTTCTGTGCAGCTTAAATACCTGTGAGAGTTCCGAGTATTTTTAAAAGAATTTTGAAGTATGGGCATTTAGCACTGGTGTCTATGGGAATTTTAATGCAGGGGTGCATCCTTATGTGATTTGGGATTAGCTTTTCTGGGCTTGCTTATCTTGTTTTCCTTTACCTAATATTGACATCTATTTTTTTTCTGTTCCCAGCTACTTATGGAATACACCAAGGGAGGTAGTCTAGACCTCCAGGCCTTTGGTGGGACCCCCATCCCCTTAGACGTTCTCCGTCAGTACGCCAGTGATCTCCTAGAGGCATTAGTCTACCTCCATGGTCGAGGGGTGGTCCATAAAAACCTCCAGGCTTCCTCGGTTTATGTAGACAGCCACGGCAGTCTGAGGCTGGCTGATTACAGCTTGTGCAAGAGGTAAAGGAACTGCCACATTTAACATGTTTAAGACAAATTTTGGACCTATACATTAATTTTGTCAAATTTTGGACCTATACATTAATTTTGTCAAATTTTTGGGTAATTAAATTCCGAATTTAAGTTCCGAATTTGAAAAATTAAATTTTTGACTTTCCAATTCTAGGTTGGATGACCTGAATGAATCCATCCAAGCAGGATCTCACAACGTCCGTTTCAGCGAAGAGAAGAGCTATGGAGGAAGGGGAGGCAAAAAGGGAGACATCCTAAAACTAGTAAGAGCAAAATAAAGTCACTTGGGAAGGTTTGGGAAAACAGGATCATGGATGTGTCCAGAATACGTTTGGATACCTTTGAAATTCTTTGGAATGTGACAGTTTAGTCAAACAATAAGGGAATAAATGTGTGATTGGGAGGTATTAAACACTGTTTAAGACTGGTTGGAGTCTGGATGCTGATAATTACCCGAGCCGAAGGCGAGGGTAATTGGGATATCGTTGCCTTTCACCGATATAATTTCATAATACTCAGTGCTATCGGTATGAGAGAAAAATCTACAGGCTTTTACCTGGGTGGGACTCGAACCCATGACCTTTCTGCTTACTAGAGCAGACATCTTACCACTCGACTACTGAGCTGCCGTGATCGGCTGACCAGTTTTAATCTGGTTTCGTAAGGTCACTTTTTTTTCAAAGCATGATGTCAAATTAAAGAGTCAGTGTTGAGAAGGGGCTGTGGAAATTGTTAAGAGGCACCAGCCCCCTCCCTCCCCCTCTCCCCTCCCCTAAAAATGGATGAGATCAAAAATATTTACGAGATTTTCTTATTCATATTTCTTTGATAATCTCATATTTTGATCAGGGTATCCTACTAATAGAACTCATCCAGGCCCAGGAGGGTGTGCAATATCCGTGTGAGGTTCCACAGGACCTTCCTGCTGATCTACAAGATCTATTAAACAGGTAGGAAATATTACCTAGGAAGAGTAAGATGTTATCGCTAGTTTTCTTGACAGGGACAACACTGAATATGTAAAATGATTTAGGCCAAATTTTTGCCACAAGGGTTTGTGCTCATCACAGTTGAAAACTTGTCATGCATATTATGTGATGTACATGTGTGCAGGACCTTATTAGGGGAGTTTCTGTTATTAGCAAAATTTAGACTGAGTGCAAGGTCAGGCAAGGACCATTAGTCGACTAGTGGCTTATTTGTGACATAACTTAAGCCTGTGCACTAATAGCAATGTCTGAACGTCTCTAGTCAAATAAGGGAATAAATACGTGCTTGGCTGGTTTTAAACACTCGGTTTAAGACTGCTTGGAGTCTGGATTATCAGCATCTTTTTGGGCAAAAAATAAACACTTTACAATCCAAAAATCAAAACAAGTCAAAAAATAAAAATTTCAAATGATTTTGTTCAACAAATTTACTTCATGTTTTTCGGGACACGCCTCTAGCTATATAATGGTATGTCGAGTCTCAAGAGTAGTGGTAAACAACTCCTTATGTGGAGTTTGGTGCGCGCGTCGATGTGGTGCAGAACGCAGCTGTGCCGGTGTGTTGTGAATTTAGGACTATGAAATGCTGACTTACTGGTAGTATTGCGCATGACTGCGTAAGGATTGTGAACGTTCACCCAATAAAACGGTAAAAGGCACCGGATTTCATAGGAGTAAAAATTTCAAGTGACACTGAAAAAGTGTTTCAGACCAGCCAGCCACGTCTTTATCATCCGTTTAAAACCGGCCACGTGACGGGCTCTTGACCAATAGGAATGGGTAAACTGTGTTAGGTATTTATGAATGCTGGTTAAATCATCATCACTAAACACCTTGATCCTGGCTCCCTGCTGTGCATTATGATTGTGCAGCTGTTGGTAACCAGTGATGCAACTGGACTTGCTCATCTGACATTACTTGGCCTGTTTGTTTTCTTTGCTCAGATGTCTTGATACAGATGAGAGAAATCGTTCGTCAGCGTCATCATTACAGGACCATCCCTTCATTAAACCCTCTATCTCAGTTTCACCTGAAACAAACAGTAATCTGCCGAACGATCTCAACTCATCAGGTGAGACATAAAATAATGGAAAAATGCCTTGAAAATTGCCCAAATGATTAACAAATAAAAAGATAAAGTAATATTACAAAATCTAATTTAATTGAATTTTTGATCCAACTAGCTTCTTCCAATATAACTTGATTCAGAAGTATTACCAGAGAAGTAAGCACAAGAACAGAACAAAATATTGTTGATTAACAGTGGAAACGTTTTTTTAAAGATAGTCATATGTTACTCAAAATATCTGTTTTTTTTAAGGAATTCTCCACTGTGCAGTGGACCAACGAAACATTCTATGGGCTCTAACATTCAAGGGATTCATTCCCTCATGTATAGTAATTGTGGGCTTCATCTCTACCAATCCTGAAAAATCCTTGAAACTACATAGTGAATTTTTAATTAGTTGGAGTGATAAGGGTAACAATTCCCCCCCCCCCAAAAAAAATAAAGAAGCTTGAGGACCTGTTACTAAAAAAAATCTTTGAAAAGGAGTAATACAGATTCACTTATGATATATTTATATATCCTGCAATTTTTTGACTTCCTACAGTTTGTGAAACTCTTGAACACTTTTCTGCTGTTATATACTGTTTCTTCTTCTGTTATCTTACAGCAGGGAATGAGAAGGAAGCGGATGTCAGTATCCCTGAGCCTAAGAGTTATGACATCCATCTGGGCCACTCCAGACTCAGGAGTGAGTTTGAAGTCTTAGACTTTCTAGGTAAAGGAGGCTTTGGAAGTGTCACAAAGGTACAGTACTTGTTTCAAATTACACTTGAGATCCGTGCAAAAGAATTCCTCACCTCTTTAAAATTCCTGCGCAGCTAAGAGAGGACGTGGCTTTTGATTACAAAAATCACACAGCACTGGATAGCTCAGATAGTAGAGCGCCAGTATATCATTTTGGTGGTCACAGGCTGAAATTCCAATCCGGTCAATTTCTTTGTCTAACCAAATATTAAACTAAATTGATAATTTGTTAGGCAGTATTTTTCGCCTAACTTTGCCACATCAAAGTATACTATTTTAAAAAAATAATATCCTGGAGAATTGGAAAAAAATTGCTTGAAATTGTTTTTCTGATTGGGTGTCAAAATGTAGATCATTTAAATGAAAGCACAAATTAAACCCCTACTTGATTTTTTCTTCAGGTCCTGAATAAGTTGGATGGCAGCATCTATGCCATCAAGAGAATCCTGCTGAACCCAAAGAGCCGAGAGTTGAACCGGAAGATCACGAGGGAGGTCAAGCTGCTGTCCAGACTCAACCATGAGAATGTGGTCAGGTAAGCTATCAAACAAGTACCCCCTCCACGGTGGAACTGACAAAGAGGGGGATACGGAAGGACATGTGAGTGCCATTGCTGCTGAGTGCACCTGCTCAGCTCAGTTGCACCTGTTTCATTTCACAGATACTGTTGGTTTATGCACACTCACTGACGTACCTCCACTGAAAATTGGAGCATATGGGCAGATGGGCATACAGGCATATGGGCATACAGGCATTGCAGTGTGCTGACCTGTGAACAAAACATGTCCACACAAATGCAGGAGTTTTAGACGTTCCGTGGACTTGCACAGGTCCACACAATATGTTTTCCACTTTCTGAAAAACAATCTAAGAGGCATTTTTGGGTTATGGTTATACATGTATGTCATAAAATGAAGTAGAAAGTTTCAAGGAAACCAGGGTAGGAAATTCAATTTCAAAGAGTGTTTACAATGCAAGTGGCAGCGCTTTGAAACGTGTTTTGTCTTAATAACTGCATGAGAGCAAAGGAAAGTCCGCAGAAAGGTATGTGGTCCTTCACTATTTTTTGTGAGTAGTCCACACACAGTACCATCTACAGTCTACCATGAGTCCAATACAAAGCAGGTAGTACTTTAAGTATGGCACACTAAATCAAATTAGGTTTTGCCCTTCACCAACGTATTAACACTGTATACTCAGTGTGTTGCCTCCCGATTTGAAAAAATCACTCGGGTGGGACTTGAACCCACGACCTTCTGCTTTCTAGTGCAGACGTCTTACCACTCGACCACCGAGCTAACGGGATCGGCTGGCTGGTTCCAATCTGATGTATATAGCAGCGGGTACCGCATTAACTATTCATAAGATGGAATTTTTGCGTCGGGGTAATGTAAATCAAATTAGGTTTTGCCCTTCACCGACGTGTAAACACTGTATACTCAGTGTGCTACCTCCCAAGTGAAAGTTGGAAAAATCACTAGGGTCGGACTCGAACCCACGACTTCCTGCTTTCTTTTTGCAGATGTCTTACCACTCGACCACCGAGCTAACAGGATCAGTTTGCTGGTTTGAATCTGATGTTTAGATAGCAGCGGGTACCGCATAAATTATTAAAAGATGGATTTTTTGCGTCGGGGTGAAAAAAGCATAGATTTGATTTTGATTTTGTTTTAGGGGGACTCTGTTACAAGTCATGAGTGTGGCACAAAACGGTTCCATATGACTTTCTATGATAATGTGCACAAACGAATGGGCCAAATGATGTTCCTGCAAAATTTTCGGGAGAGTCGCAGTAACCTGCAAGTTGTCGGTTATGGTAAAGTCTTGGATGTCACAGCAGAACAACCCCGGGCTACATTCCGTTTGGGAGTTTTAATGAAAGAAAACAGGTTTGTGACACAAATTAATTGTACCAAGCCCCCTCCCCGGAGAGTTAAATCAGGACATTTAATTTTACTCACTTTTGTTACAGATATTTTAATTCTTGGATAGAGGTTGCAGAGTCGCCTCCGACTACCGAGACAGATTCTGACTCGCTTGGTACCGTAACAAACACCACCGGTCCCATTCAGAAACCCACACCTGATACCAGACAACCTACCAGCGACAAGAATAGCCTCAGTATCTCAGATGATATTGAGAAATTAGCTCCCAAAGTCAGCTTCAGTAAGTACTTGAACAGTAATTTCGTTGATACCCCAAAACATTGCATATTTCTGGTATGTTGCACACGGCGTAAACACATGGTTGCCAAACAGTGATACACTTAAACTTAAAGGCACGTAGGAACATTGATAATTAGCGGGAAATGAACCTTGTTCAAAGTGATGATAGGATTTGTACCAAATACCTTGTGAAAATATTCAACCTGAAATGGTACCATTCGGGAGAAAACAGTGACAAGCTTGCTATGCACCCTAAGATTTTGGGCACTTTTGTTAGCCTCAAGTGAAAAAAAAATGCACAAGAAAGTAAATGATCATATGAATGTACCTTTGAACGAAACTACCATGTTTGTGACTTGTGGTGGTGAACCGTGGCTTGCAACTGCTTCACTACAAGCTTACTTTTTAGTACGCCTGGGGCTCAGAAAAGGTCTCGACTTCAAAACTGCCCATTACCTCTGTAGCATTTTTAGTACTGTTATGTACAGAAATCAGCTGAACTTATTAATACATTTACTTGTCACTATTTCCAGGTACCTTAGGTTCCGTAGATTGGAGCACATCACATGATACGGGTGGATTGGACAGTAGCAGCGATTCATCATCTGATGAGGAAGATGTCTTTGGGGCGTCCTTCATGTGAGTACCAGGGATTCAGGGAACCAGGACCTTGAGGTTTTGGAATGACAATTACCCGTTATCCAAAGAGAGCTCATTCACATTTAACGCAGCCCTTCAAATCTGCCACAATGTTAAGGATAAAATTACATGTAGCAGGGGCGTTGCAAAACCAATTTGAAGGGGGGTGCATCAAGAAATTTGCTGGAAGGTAGCTAGGAACTTTTCCAGTTACTCTGCTGCCGCAAATTCCAAAAAAATGGGGGGGGGGGGGGAGCATGACACTATCGGACAATAGGTTGTGCTTTTCGTAGCAGACAGACACATGATTTTGCCAATAGGATGACAATTTTGCTGAAAAAACCCTCAACAAAGACACTCTAGTGACGCCCATGATAATAGGTTATATTTCTGAACAAGTGGCCCCAAGTTTTTGGGTTTTCGAAAATGGTAAAAACGGGGGAAGGATATTACTGTGAGGTTGTTGGGCTATCATTTAAAAAAAAAAAATTTAAACGTGCAAAATGTTGCTGGGGGTAGGGGGGGACAAGTTGCCAGAGAACTATTTTTGTCCATTGGACTTGAAAGTTAGAGTACAGATAATAATTCAATTATATTCCTGCACAGCAGTGGATTATATGAGGATTGGAAAGGGCTTTCTAAAACACTGAGGCTGTTGGGTTGAGCATTTGAGCAGAGATGGAACGTAATTTACAAATCTACCACTAGTTCACCAATGACTCATTTGAAGTCCTATCATTTTGTGGCTTGTGAGTAAGCAAAACCTCAAGATGGCAACAATCAACACACATAATGGACTCCGTTCACAAACTAATGGCCCTTTGTGACCATTTTTGAGAGCTCCGCAACGTTTGCACAACTTCTTTTTCTGAATGTGTAAACACCAGAGGCGTTTTGACGTGAACGTCAGGCGCTGTTGGCAATGCGTTTGTATGTCCCTCCCAGGGTAACCGTTGAGGGGTAAGGTTACTTTCCCAGGGAGTCCCTACCACAGAGCCCACTATTTGCAGGTTTCATCCTCTCATCTGATTCCCTGTTCTTCCCTTACCAGGCCTTGTTCGGACTCATCTGATGGGATCGAGTTTGAGCATAACAACTCCAGTCCTGACATCAGTGACAGTAAATCCAAACAGGTACCGGCGTTTTATACTGTTTCAGTTACATTTTTGTTCCAAATGGCTCAAATTCACTCTTGTAATAGAAAAGAAAAGAATATCTTCTTTTATGGTCATGGGTGATTGCAGTCTTTTGAGGATTTTGGCTACAATAGTTGGAAACAACTGAATTGTTTAATAAATAAATTGTGCCAAATGGAAGGATTTTTTTTTTTCTGGTTACTGCGGTGGACTCTTCAATTTCTCTACTACCGTGTTCCAGAATCGAATCCTTACAAGGAACAGTGGATTTGTTTCAGTTCAGTGGTGGGTGGAAAATCCTAGATTGAAAACTCAATCCACTTGTCGGCCTTGATGGACTTTGAACCTGGGTCACAGGGATGGAAGTCGAGGAATAAACAACCACATCAACCTTACACAAATGCAAGTCTGATTGCCGTGCTTGATTTGTGTACAACGCCTGAATAAACCCCCTTTATCCTGTTATTGAGTTATTCATCCCACGGCGTGGCCACACCGCAAAAATGGAAGTTCCATTCCACTGTAAATAGATATCATTGCGCGGTCACACTATTGGCAGCGCTGTGATGGCTCTGATGCTGTACATTCTTGCAAGTTACCAATCAGATGACAAGGATTTATTCAGGCTTTGTATCAATCAATTAATGAACGTTTCCAAATTGCCAAAGGATACAAGGTGCTTATTATTACCCTGCTCATTGGGCCAATGAAACATTCCAAATACCATCTCGGCTCCCTGGGGAGCATACAGCTCGATGCTGCCATTTCGGCACAAAGCAGCTAAATCAACCACACTAACCATCTCTGCCCTCACAGGAACCCATTTACTCCTGGGTGGAGAGAAGCAATGCTTGAGAAAGTGCCTTGCCCAAGGGCACAAGCACCACAGCCGCAGGCTGAATGAATAGTTTCTATTGGTGAGAGATGGAATGTTACCCATTTCTCGTGGGTGGGGAGAAGCAATGCGTGACAAAGTGCCTTGTCCAAGGGCACACGCACCCTAGCCACAGGCTGAATGAATTTCTTTCGGTGACAGATGAAATTTTCCATTCCACTCGGCTTGGCCTCATTCCATCTGTCATCTCATGAAATTATTCTTACCATTGCACTCATAAACATTCAGTATTTGTGATAGCTTCAAAATTGCACTGCCTTATTCATTCATCTACAAGATCTGTTGCATTCCAGCCAGCTTTGAGATGTGTGATGTTGTTTCATATGGATATGCATGAGTATAGCTCTTGTGCATTCATTGTTACTGAATGAAAATAACCAAAGAAATACCCCCAAATTGGCTGCTGAATGTAAAGACTCTATAGACTAATTCGATGAACAAAATGAGCCATTTTTTGAGGTAGAACCATGCTCGCGAACATGTTCTTAAAATTAATATGCGCGGGCATTTTGGTAACATAATTGGTCGAAGGAGCATTGAGTGCATGCGTACCTCCTGTGCTCAAACGTGGTTCCTAATCGGTAATGGCATCTGATTTGTCAAGTAAAGTCTGTCACGAGCCAATGTGGCCCATCAGGCCGGCGTTTATCTCCGGTTTCAGTAGCATGAAACAACTGAGAATATTTCTATTCCCCCTGGATGCGATGCTAGTCCATTGCAGGTTCAGCTAATGCCGGTACCCATTTATACACTTGGGTGTGGAGAGAGGCAAGTGGGGATCAAGTGGCTTGCCCAAGGACACACAATAAGGCCAGCGGCTGTATTTGAATCAATGACCCTCTGATCATGAGTCACAAACCCTAACCACTAGACCACACTCCCCCAGAATGGCATCTGACTAAGGTCACCAAATTAGTCTACGTGGGCAACCATCCCCTTGACAATTTTCAGTTGACCGCTTCACAATTGTCACAGGAAGAAGGGAAGAAACCAACTGATGCGAATCTACCTCCTCAAGACGTTGAGCCATCACGACCTCTGCAGTACCTGTACATCCAGATGGAGTTCTGTGAGAAGAGCACACTCAGGACGGCCATTGATCAGGGTCTGTATCTGGACGAGAGGAGAGTCTGGAGATACCTGAGGGAGATCGTGGAAGGATTGGCTCATATACACTCACAGGTAGGTTGCAGGCAGCCTTAAAGGTTTCTGTATGAAGACCAAAGATTCTGGCGATGGTTGTCGAAACTACGAAAGATTGTCTCATATTCATTCCAGGGGAAGATTAAGTGTAGTTATTCATCAGGGTCTGTGTTTGTAAGGAAGGGTCTAGAGAAAGCTTTTTTTGCAGATACATTCACAAATAGGTTGACGACAGTTGAAATTCATGTATTTGGGCTCCGTGTGCAAACAAGAGAGGGTGCTTATTTACCACTCTCAAGAGCTCCGTGGACGGGACACTCCGCATGCGCGGACTGCTTCGTGTGCATATAGCGCAAAGTGTGCATGACCAAATGTGCACAAAGCCATATGTTCGAATGTTTCTCCCAGTGGTCTCTCCTAACTCTCGCTTCCTTAACGTTGAGGGGGTACTTGAGCACGGAACCCACATAAGGGTATAGAGATTTTAAAAATTAACGAAGAATTTTCTCATTCCCAGGAAGTCTGAATTCAGCAGTAAATCAGTGTATGTCACAGGAAAGACTCAACTTTGGGTGATTTTGAGAGGGTTATTTTATTTTACTATTTCCAAGGCTGTCGAAGACAAGGGTCCATCAGTGAAAAGCTGTCTTAACATTAATGGGTATTTATAAAGCGTACGTATCCACCATTACTGGTGCTTACCAAAATCTCATATTTTGTGCTAGTGCAATTTTGGTTATGGACCGAAAGACGAGTGGTGTGAAAAGATCTGAAATGCTGCTGGTAGAAATGGGAAAATTGGGTCGTCCACTGTTGGGGCCTCATAGTCTTCTCTGAATGATTAACTTGAATTGACTTAATGAAAATTGCTTCCTAACATTCAGATTCCATTTCCTTTTATCGTCTGTCTGTCAGGGTATGATTCACAGAGACCTGAAGCCTGTCAACATCTTTCTGGACTCTAATGACCTGGTCAAGATCGGTGATTTCGGCCTGGCTACTGCCGGGAACATGGGAACGGCGGCGTTGCCAGATATACCACAGGGGGATCTACATGAGGCGCAGTTATTAGAGGGAAGTGCTGGTAAGGGAACGAAGATTAATCAATTTTGAGATACATTTACCCTAACTTCTGTGAAATTTTTGCTATGCACATTCTGGAATCCATTGAAATCCACATCTGTGCCAACCTTGTTTTTAGGGGTACAAATTTGCCTCGCCATGTTGGTTCCCAACCGTGCTTTGCACAATCTTTTGTTGTTTTGTTATTTAAATCTCCCACTATTTCGATGTGTTTTAATGCACGACGCGGTGCTTTCAATATTGAAGAATCAAATTTTTAGAATCAATCCTTTCAAAGATGAGATTAGTAAGGGACCGTGACCATTCAGCCCCGGTATGAAAAGGGCCCCCCGGTAAGCTCGTCCCCTCCCAAGAAGTCCTTTCGTACCGTCCCAGCTACCGGCCTAGGAGCTGGTCCGGTTGCTAATCAGGAACTCCTCTATCCTGGGGTCTATTGTTTGCAAGTATTGACACATGTAAAATATCCCAGAAGAAACCTGCTTGTGGTTTTCATCTCTCAGCACGAAACAATAGAACACTTTCATCAGCACAGTTCAAACCCCTTGCCATGCGGTTTCGTGCACAATGGGACCGTAAATTACCAAGGCGTTTGGAAGGATTTTATCTTTAATCCGGTAATTCTGCTATTGTTCTGCTCTGGACGTTCTCTGAAGGGCAATAAATTGATGCGCCTGACTGACTTCAAAACTTCTGGTCAGACAGGACCATGTACCGGATGAGACTGGGCTGAAGACCGGACTGGCTCTGGACGAGGTACCAGGGGGCCCTTTTCATACCAGGGCTGAATGGTCACGGTCCCTAAGTCGCGTTACTAGAATTGATAATGTGCATACTTCTGTCGTCCCTTTTACAACACAAGATACAGGTATTTTTGGCAAACAAATTGCGGCTCCCAGAATTTCCATATCGTAGAGGCATCGCACAGTCTTTAAACAATTGTTGACATGACGTGGCGTGCAGGAGATAACGTGAGCACATATAAGGTGTGCAGCTTGTAAAATACGTGTGCACTATGCTCTGAATAGTCAATCAGTGTCATCTTGGTATTCTACACGGCCAGGGGTTAGTGAAGGAACGCACGCACGCAGCCCGTGGAGTCGAGGCTGCGTCTGTGCAGGAAACTAATGGCACATTCATTTTACAACCGATTTCGTTGGATGGAATTTCTACAACCACATAACGCCTTCGCATGGGTGCCAGGTGCAAGCCAGATATAGCGTTCAACTATCTGTCACTATTGAGGGGGTGCTTATGCACAGGGTTCGACTATAGTGAGTAGCCCGCTAGCCAAATGCTAGTCAAAACAGCGGCGGGCTAGTCAAACTAGTTGGTGAATCAACAATTATTAGGATACGGCAAAGATGAAAGGACAGGAAGAAATATATCATTAAATTCAGAAAGCAAACCTGTACCTATTTGTGTCTAATTGTATTAACTGTGTTTAGGGTTAAATTAATAGATCTATTCATTAAAAACACTGACAAGATTGCCTCAGGATACATGTTTGGCATGTATGAACATTGTTGTTCATGAGACACTCCATAAAAGAAAAACATGTTGGCTAGTGAAAATGTCTGTGGGCTCGTTAAGAGTCTGTTTCAGTAGCCCGGCAGGCCAGTGAAAAAAAAAGGTTAAGGTTGAACCCTGCTTATGCACAGTTTTTAAAGTCATAGGCTGATTGCCATCTGAATTATTTTTTGAAACTACCTTTGCATTGCAGGGACCGGGAGTCACTTGACGGGCAAGGTGGGCACCGCCCTCTATGTCAGCCCGGAGTTATGCCAAGCCAAAAGCAGTCATTACAACCAGGTATCTAGTTAATGTCTTTAGACCAGCTGGGCCCAATTTCACGGCGCTGCTAAGCACAAAAAAAGTCGGGCTTATAAAAGCAGGTTACTGGCCAAAACCCCATGTGAATTTCAATGCTAAGCAAACAACAGCTGAATGCTAATCACGAGCAATATACTTCACGTGGAGTTTTCAAGCTGGTAACCTGCTTTTATAAGCCAGCCTTTTTTTGTGCTAAGCAAATTTTTGTGCTTAGCAGCGCCGTGAAATTGGGCTCTCGGCCCAATTTCATAGCACTGCTTAACAGTAAGCAGAAAAGTTGTGCTTATCATGCTGCTGCTGAAGCACTATTTCATGCTAACGGTTGTGCGCGCATGGAGATTTCTATTGTTACGTCACTTATTTTAGCAAAGTTTTTTTCTGGGGTTGAGCGTGCTTTTGCTGTGCTTACTGCTTAACGGTCCTTATGAAATAGATGGAGGCTCGGTAAGCACAAAGTCGGCTGTTAAGCAGCGCTATGAAATTGGGCCCAGGTCATTACAACCAGATATGTAGTTAATTGTGATAGCTTAGTAAGCACCAGTTACCAATATGACACTATAGGAGAAGAACATACAGAAGAGAATAAGTTTTTTTTACTTAAATAATTTCTAAAAGTTCACATTCGTCCAGATTTTGCCAAAAAAAAATCATGTTTTAGATAGTTTGCTGATATTAAAGGTCACAGGAAACCCACACACATGTAATATCTTACATTTATGGTAGAAACATTGGAAAAACCATGTTTGTTTTTATTAAGATCTGAGGCGGCCGCAGTTTTTTACCTTGTCCATACATATTCAAGCATCAAGTTTTGATCCAAATTGTCAACAGGCTGCGTACAATGCGTTGAACAGCAAAAAAAAATAATTTAAGGACCAACCTTTTGTAAGGGTCCCGAAAATCCTTATGTGGTAATTATAAAAGAGAAGAAGCAAATTCCCAAGGTAAACTTTGTGTGAACATTCATGTACTACAATCTTTCCAACTATTATCATCAAGGTAAACAGCGCATAACATGGTATTTTGTTGCCATGGTAAACGTGTTTTGGAGCCAATGTGGGCACTTTCTCTTAACCAGTTCATGCCGGGAATATTTTGACAAGAACGGAACGAGGCGCGGGATTACTTTTCACTCGACCTCAAGCCAGGCGGGTTGAAGCCATCACCCTCGGGCAGCACACTCATATTTCCGGCCTCGCTGCAAGTGGGTCGCTGACAGATATTTCTGACCTCGCTCCCTGCGTGTTTATCTGTCATCCGTTCCGAATACTGCATGACTTTTGCGAGTATACACGGCCTCCGGCGCGAACTGGTTAACAGTGCTCCTGTATATACTCAACTCATTTTTTTTAAAGTAGTCAAACAGTATTTCAGAGGATTTGCTTCCTAAGTTACTTTCTTTTTGTTTATTGTTTTCAGAAAGTTGACCTGTACAGCCTGGGTATAATCTTCTTTGAGATGTGCAATCCACCGTTAGCTACTGGCATGGAGCGAGTTCAAATGCTGGGGAGAGTAAGAGAGGTAAAAATTTCAACTACTACGACATGTTCCCGAATCAGTCGTTGTCGACCTGTGTTTGAATTTACGACGTCGTGCGCGCATCAAGATCATCCTTTTTCAGCATGTAGCCATTCAGCACACCACCGGCGCTCCTCATTCTGTGCCAAATCACGCAGTACACGTCACGCGCTTGCCAATCTCCAAATAAGGAGATTGTTTACTACTTCTCGCGAGCGGCGTACTAGATCATAGCTAGAGGGGTGTTTAAAAAAACATGGTAACTTATAATTTTTGACTTGTTTCGACACTTTGACTCAAACGTATTTATGAATGGGAATACAAGTACGTTACAAGACCGTATTATGGGAATGGGTGCTGATAATCTGCTTGGCCGATCCAGCCGAGCACATATTTGTTCCCTTATTGTTAAATAAGTCACATGACTGTCTATGCCGTGAAATCGTCGTGGATCGTTGCGTTGTGGGTGACATGAGCACGGTTGTGATTATTTTGCGTCAAGATGCCGCTTGTTCCACGAGGCTCACACGATTTCTCAGTTTTGTGGCCTGAACATTATTTTTCTGCTTGATGCCGACAGTTCCGTCGTGGTGCAAACAAATCGCAGGCCGACCTGAGGTCACCTTTACAATCTTAGCAAAAACGAGACGAGAACCAGGCATCAAGCAATATACTTTACATGACAATTTAACTGGTAACCTGCAGCTGCTAAGCAAATGTTTTCTGTGCTGAGAGTTAATATAAAAATAATTGCCACTGAGCTATTTTACTTTCTTTTTTCCGTGTTCGGCTTTAGGAAAACATCCATTTCCCGGACACCTTTGACGAATTCAAGCACGAGAACGAGGCGTTCATCCTACGCTGGCTCCTGAATCACGACCCCGAGGCGCGTCCCACGGCCCAGGAGCTCCTCCAATCCAAGCACCTGCCTCCCCCTCAGATGGAAGACGCTAGACTCCAGGAGATGCTCAGACACACCATCTCCAACAGTCAGTCCAAGGCCTACAGGCACATCATACAGGAACTCTTCCATCAGACCGTGCCGGCCCCGGCCGACTTCACTTACGACATGGATATGCATAAAGTAAGAGGCTAATAGTCTATGGGCTCTGCCCACGAACAAGAGAGGGCGCTTTTTGACCACTTTTGAGAACCCAGGGGGCGGGACACACGTGTGCGCGTACTGGTTCGCATGTATAGCGCAAAGTACACACGAGTAGGTGGTATATTCGTGAGCGTCAGGCGCCAAACATTTAAATTGTTTCGTACTTTTTCTGACACTTGAGGGCGCTGTGGCTGTGATGTCAGTTTAGGAACACACTTCTTCAAACTGTAAACCCAAAATTCTGCTTATTGAAAACGTTTGTTCATAAAATGTTCTCATTGTCTTACTGTCATTCTTAAACAACAGTGAACCACTAAATGCAGAAAAAATAACCACAGCAAACCCCTAGAAGTCTAGTGACTTTATGCAGGCCCGTCGCCAGCCCTGAGCGTCAAGGGGGGCCATAGTACCAACTTGGGGGGCCCACTACCCTAAAAATACAAAAATACACATGTATGGCTTTTGCCGTTGGGGGCCAATTGCTCGCCAAGGGGGGCCCGGCCCCACCAGGCCCCCCCCCCCCTTGGCGACAGCCCTGACTTAATGCTGATGTAGATGTGAAACTGAAGTTCCTGCCTTGAATGACATCACAGTTTTGCTCATGAATATGGAAATTTGCATTAGCATAAAAACCCCAAAGGCACCAAAACGCCCTTAAAATGGCAATATGATGGTCACAAATAAAGTTAAATGGGACACACAGGTACATTTCAAGGATTGCGTTAAAAAAAAATTCCATTACGTGGGTCCTTAAAACTCTTTGACCACCCGACAGGGTTTTTCTTTCAAGTCTTCCGTGGTCCAGCAAGCCGTGTACGAGACACTATGTAGAATCTTCCAGAAGCACAGTGCACTGAGAGTCAACACTCCTCTACTCCTTCCAAGAAACAAACAGCTGGAGAGATCCGAGATGTGCGTCAATCTCATGACCCACAGCGGCGGTCTGGTGTCCTTAGCCTATGACTTGAGGGTGAGTCTGTAATGTTGATTTTAGATCCGGGCTCCTGATCACTGTACACTTATGAGGCCCCCTCCAATGGAGAAACCATTGTGCATGCTATTGTACAAAGCAACTGTCCCATGACAAATTATCTGAACAATAGCTAGCACAATACTTTCACCATTATTGGTGAAATCCATATTGATTATCCGATATTATACAGTGTTTGTCAAAGAATTCTATGGTGCGTTTATAAATAACACGTTCGATAATCTTAGAAAATGAAGTAAGAACTGAAGTTGGTTGATAAGTACTAGCAATGGTGTGATTGCCGCTTTTAAAAATTGGGGCGATTCTGGCGATCTTCATTTTCTCAGGCACAACACCTGTTAAAATGGAATAGTTGATAATGAAAGTCAGAGGCCAGGAGATTGCCCGTATCACTAATTTAATCAATGTATTGCTAATTAGATCAAAGCCTGCACTTGTTTTGTTAGGCAAATTACCTACAATTTCAATTATTTCTTCTTGTGTAACAGGAGATAAGAAAATAGAATTAGAGTTTGGATTGAAGGGGGGTCTGTGATAGAATTGATCGTGTTCTCCGATTGGTCTATATTCAAGAGAATGAAGTTTAACGGTGGTCTTTTTTGAGGTCAACACTTTCTTGTGCAAATGTTTTGTAAAACCCCAAGATTTGATTTAATCAGGGCTTAAATTTATCAGGATTTTCCCGATTCCAGGCTTAAAAAAAAAAATCTTGAATTTCTGAGATTTTTTCCATAAAGGTCTTTGTACCTATAAAGGTTTATATAGAACAAAAAAAGTTGGTATTTTCATTGCCTTTACGTTGCTCTGGGCCCTCAGCACCCTCAAACCCTCCACCGAGTATTTCGTAGATTTTTCATTTCCTTCCAATTTCACCCCTGTTTAATTGTTTCCCCGTTGTCTTCACCTAAATGTTTACGATAATAAGTGATGTTTTTGTATATGTTTTAAAAAGGGGAATGCATTTTACCTTTTTGGCATGCTTGACATGGAGCGTTACATCAAAAGAGAACTTGCACAGAAAATGAACCCATTGCCAAATGTGCTACATTGTATTACATTGTACTTATTCCCTGATGAATTCATAACACCATAGACTGCTAGTTGTAATTACATGTACAAGCACAAGTAATTGTCACAATTTTGTTTTTAAAATATTACATGCTAGAATGGATTTATGTTTATCTGATTTCATGTATTGTTTGTTCCCCAGATTCCATTTGCCAGATTTGTTGCCAGAAATAATGTTACCAATTTGAAGAGGTAAGACAATTTTTTTTAAATTTTTTTTTTTTTCCTGTTTTTAATCCCCCTGGCTTTCCAGCTTTCAAGCTAGACAGGGGGATATTGCGATCGCATATTCCTTCTGTGTGTCCGTGTGCGTGTGTAAACTCCGTGTGCGTGTGTAAACACCGGCAGCCATGGACTAGGGACAAAAGGGTTAGTGCACAAACAAAGGGTCCACGATTGACCGAACGACCACGATTGAAAATCGTGTACAAAACCAATGAGAGCTGTTGCAAAAAAGTTAGAGTACAAACAAAGGAATGAGGATTAGGGACAATAGGGCGTCCACGATTGCCGGTGTTTACACACACGTGTGTGCGTGTACGTGTTCATCTTTTCAAATCGTGGACGAAAAATACCAGAGAACAAAAGAGAACAATATCGTCCACAATTCCCAGCATACGTCCGCGATTGGGGTCGTGTACAAAACCTATGGGAGTCTTCCTAAAAAGTTAGGGTACAAACAAAAGAGGGACAATAGAACGTCCACGATCGACGGTGAACACACGTTTGTGTGGGTGTGTTTTTGGTTGATATGTGGTATTGCTCATGGTATCTGGGAAAGTGATTAGTGAAAATTGACAGGCAGTGTATGTTGAAGTCATTATAAATACACTAGGCCACCTCACTGGTTCCTAGAGACACCGCGGCTACAGAAGCTCCCACAGGCCTTGGTCTATGGATGAGTTATGTCACTGTGTTTCTCTAGTGTTGTGAAAGTTATTGTTAACGGCCCCCTTTGTAGCTTCACAGTTGTGGACTAGCACAGCTGCCCACCCATTTCTTTGCCAATCCCTGTTCCTAGTTATGACACATTCCTTTTTGGTGAGGTACACTGAAAATTGTCCTTACTAACTGCCTGTACATGTATACAAACTGCCAGGATGCCAGGGGGATCGCACAAGTTTTACTTGCAGTATTGTTATTTTTCTTTGTGTCTTCACACTGCTGCTTTTGTGTGTGGCGAAGTTTGAATGACAGAATTAAAAACGAAACGTGTGAGACAAGTTGGGCCTGTCATTTGTTAAACCAGAATTTAGAAGGGGGAAAACTTAAAAGTAATATTTGAACACCATGCAGACCTCATAAAGAAAATATCAACAACTTTCACAAACTAGAAATAATTCATGTGACATCTGAATTGTCACGCCAACTATTTACTAACTGGGCTTGGCTTTAATGAGGACTGGGGCTATTTCCCCCTGTCCCCCCCCCCCCCCAAAAAAAATATATAAATAGCTGTTTTATTTTCTTCAGAGGTTACTCTCCTTGTAAAGTTTTTTCCATAAGTTTTTCCAAAATTTCCCTGAAAATTTTCAAAAATTGTTTTGAAATAGTATGAAAAGATTCAGATCCTGTGCCTGGTGTGAACAAAAGGATGCTGTGACCATTATCAGATTAAAGGGAATAAACAACAACTGCAAACATCTAAAAACAAAACTACTAAATTATTATCAAACACTTTACTGGATTATTAGTGAATGACAGTCTAAAACATCCTGTAAAACCATGGCACCTAGTGTGCTGTTATTTTCAAGAAAAGTGGTATTTTTGTATCGATTCCCAACGCTATGGTCGGCCGACCAGCGTTGGAAAAACTGGTGCCTCCAATTTACCACTTTTAGGTAGTCCGCATTTTGTTTGCAGTCGATTACACACCTATGAACGGGTACAAGCCAGCTAGACATGTTCCCTGACCTTCGAATTCCCGACGTCTATAAATTGCTTTGTTTGAACTAGACTACAAGAACTGGATTTTTTTCTTGGTTTTTCAAGCATCTACGAACACAAAACCTCAACAAGTCAAGGTAGCAATAATTATTTGCTATAAAATTCTAACCCCCCAAATTCATCCACTTGAAAATTACAGCAAAAGCAAATGCTGTATATTCCCTTTCAAACGTTTAACCAGATATCTTTTTACTGAAATTCATCTGTTGTTTATAGCAAAACCCTGAAAACAAAGAAGTACAATGAAGCTAAATGTAAAGTGTTAGGCCTATTACTTAACTGTATTTGTAGTAAGTTTGAAACTACCCACTTAAACAATCAAATTTATACATTCTCCAGAAAAAAAGTTGCATGGCATATATTAATAAATATTCACCACATATTTATATTCGCTACAAATGACCTAAAAGGGCCCATGCAATGTAATTTTTTAATGCAGTCCTTGTTAATGCACCATTGTGTCCCATTTAACCTTACTTTGTTTTTCATTTTGCCGTTTTTAGGGGCATTTTGGTACCTTTTTGGTTTTTATGCTGATGCAAATTTGCATATCCATGAGCAAAAGTGTGATGTCATTTCAGGCAGAAACCTCAATGTTACAGCTATTTCAGCTCCAAAATTTGCCCAAATTTTTGATATTTTGCTGTCGTAAATTTTCTTTTCTTTGGTGATTAGTTGTTCTTTAGTGTACATGACAGAATGCTTATGAGCAAAGCTTTCTCACAAGTGTTTTCAATGTACAAATTTTGGGTTCATAATTTAAACCGAAAACCCACTGAACCAGTGTCTTCCTGAAATGACATCGTAGCAACAGCGCCCTCATTTGTCAGGAAACACGTGGACAATTTTAAATGCTTAAAGAAGTGCACTTTTCAATAAGATTATTCTAAAAGGGATGTCAAATAGTTTTTATACATTTAAGAAAAGATAGTAGAAAGCTATGTTCCCAAGTAAAATTCATGTCATTGGCCCTCTAAATATTAAGTTTTTCTATTTTACTATTTTTATCTTTGACATTTTAATTCCTTGTATTGACTTTTTCACACATTTTAACGTTACAGTTACTTTTTTTAATATAATGCTATAGTATTAGTTTATTTCTAAACTTGTAAAGCGCCTTGAGCGTCTTTTTGAGACGGATTTTGGCGCTATGTAAATGTTCACTATTATTATTATTATTAAAGATGAAGTATTTACACAGATTTTTAGAATCCAAATCTTCATTTCAGAGACATCATTTCCAAATTCTTAAATTTAGCTCACTTTACTTAAGTGAAGGGCAAAATCCAGATGTAAAATGTCATTCATAAATACCTAATTTACGCATTCCTATTGGTCGAGAGCCCGTCACGTGGCCGGTCTTAAACGGATGATAAAGACATGGCTAGCTGGTCTTAAACACTTTTCCAGTGTCACAATAAAATGTGGATTCCTAAAAATCCAGTGCCTCTTATCGTTTCATTGGTTGAACGTTCACAATCCTCATGTAGGCATGCGCAACACTACTAGGGAGTCAGAATTTTATAGTTCTAAATTCAAAATGCAACGCGCCAGGTGCGTTCCGCGCGACATCGCGCAGAACATGATATGCGCGCGTCAATCTCCATAAAAGGGTTGTTTACACCTTACTCGCCAGCTGAACACTCCATTATTTTGCAAGAGGGATGTTTCAAAAAGCATAAAGTGAATTTGTTGAACAAAATCGGGATGTTTTGAACAAATTACATGTATATGATTTTTTTTTACCGAAAATGTATTTATGAATGGGAATAAATTTGTGCTCCGTTGGTATTTATCACTCTGTTTAAGATCACTCTGTTTAAGACCACTTAGAGTCTGGGTGCTGATAATTACCCAGACTCTAAGTGGTCTTAAACAGAGTGATAAAAACCTCCGGAGCACACATTTATTCCCTTATTAGAAGACAACATTTCTGTGTTGTAAACATCTGATAAATAACTGCGCTTGACTGAAAGGGATGCTTAGAACTATAAAACTTAAGGGTAAATAAATATCAAAACATGTCAGTAGTCAAGGATATCAACACAAATTTGAAAGTTGCTTTTAAAGCAATCATTTACAGCTTGACATTAGTTACTTAATACAGGATGAAATGTACAGGGCCAAAATTTCACGGCACTGCTTAACAGTAAGCAGAAAAGTTGTGCTTAGCATAGCAGACAAATTTGCTAACTTTAAGCACTATTTCACGACGTGGATGTGCCAACGGTCGCGCGTGCATGGAGATTTCTATTGTTACGTCACTAAGTTTAATAAGCGAATTTTTCCTCTGAAGTAAGCATGCCTTTTGCTGTGCTTATGGTTACGGTCTCCATGAAATAGATGGAGGCTCTGTTAGCAGAAAATTGTGCGCTTAGTAGCGCTGTGAATTTGGGCCCAGGGCCCAATTACAGGGCGCTGCTTAACAGTTAGCAGAAAAGTTGTGCTAAGCATAGCAGACAAATTTGCTAATCTTAAGCACTCTTTCACGGCATGTGTGTGCCAACGGTCGCGCGTGCATGGAGATTTCTATTGTTACGTCACTAAGTTAAGCACATTTTTCCTCTGAAGTAAGAATGCCTTTTGCTGTGCTTATGGTTACGGTCTCCATGAAATAGATGGAGGCTCTGTTAGCAGGCTTTCTACTGTTTATCATTTTAGGCAGAATTATTTCTAAATGTAACAACCTCAAGAAACACTTTAAAATTCAATCACAGTACATGTAGGTTAAATACGGTACAACATTGTGAAGCTTTAAAGGGAATATACATCATTTGCTTTTGCTGTAATTTTCAGAAATGGATGGAATTGGGGGGTTGGAAATATATAGCAAATATAGTTACACTGATTTTTTTGAGGTTTTGGGTTCGAAAATGCTATAAAAACCAAGAAAAACAATCATTTTCCTGTAGTCTGGTTCCCTGACTCCATTTAAGAACAAACAGAGCAGTTTACATATATTGGGGAATTGTAAGGTCAGGGAACCAGTCTAGCTGGCTTGTACCCGTTCATAGGTGTGTAATCGATTGCAAACAAGTGCGATGGTGAACTGGGGCCAGTATTTGAAAAAAGCCAGTTTTTTTCCAACGCTGATCGGCCGATCAGCGTTGGAAATTGATACAAAAATACCACTTTTCTTGAAAATGACAGTAAACCAGGTGCCATGAATTTACAGGATGCTTCACACTGTCATTCACAAACAGTCCAGCAAGGTATTTCAAAATGATTTGGTAGTTTTATTTTTT